GTAGTTATATCTTTCCACAGAAATATCAATTGTTCTCTAATTTAATAATTGTAAAGAAATAACTATGAACAACATTCAATGGCAAAAATTCAAGTAATAAATTACTAAAGCTTCTTGTTTTCTACTAGACATCCACTTATAAAATATTTAATGTCTTTTATTTATGACCCTCCTTCTATTCAATTATTTCAAACATTTGAATCAAAGAATCTATTTTAATTTCCCAATTTTTTCTCTTTTTTACAAAGCTATTCTCTAAAAAATATTTAAGAATTATTCACTTTCTATAATCACTATAAAATGAAAAAATTGTGTTAAACATAAATTCTATTTTTCTACATTTTAGGGATAATAATGTTAAGAAAAGGACAGATTTTTTTTCTCCTTGAAATGGTTTAACGGATAAGGCGAGTAAAAATTTAAAAGCCAAAATCCTATCACCTTGAGCTTTCTGCGACTTGCAACTGTTAGAACACAAAATGTGCAAAACCTATAAACCAATTTTAAAAAAAAAGAAAAAAAATCTCGCTGGAAGCAAAATGCAAAAATCAAAATTCAGAATAATGCTGAAGGAAAAAAAAAAGTAAAAAGGCAAGAGTCTATCTTGTCCGCCCAAGAAACCGTTCAAAAGCTTGTTAGGAAGACCATAAAAATTGGCTTTTTTTCTCTTTTCAAAAAGAAACGCTTGAATTTTTCCAAATTTTTCCTAACATCAAAGTAGTTGCGGTTACTTTTTCGCAAGAAATGACGAATAAAAGCACTGTTTTTGTTTCTTACATTCTTTGTGAAAGCTCGAACCAAACAATATAAGAAGCTTTGAGAAAATGATGGAAAAAGAAGAAAAAAAAGGATCACAGCAACAAGATTAAAGAGTAAAATAGTCTTAGGAAGTAATGTGTAAATTTCTTTACAATTTTTCATTCTTAATATTTGCCATTATTGTTTAAAAAGTTCTTTTATGGTTTTAAAATTCCCTGGTAAATTAACATCTTCTTTTAAATTGGGTTTCTAAATAGCAATATTTTTTTTCTTTAAAAAAAAAATCAAAAAATATTTTGGAACTAAAAAACTTCCATGCTAAACATTTATTTAATCTCCTTTAACAAAACGGAATAATGGAAGAAAAATGGGGATAGTGATTAAATATCTTTAAAAAAAAACATGTCTGAGCAAATAACTGGAAATTTTGTGTTGAGTGTTTCCCAAAAATATATATTCAATGAGGAAATGAATAACACCCACCAAGTGAAGTGAAAAAAATATTCTTTCCATTGAAAAAACTTTATTTACTTAAAAAACTAAGGTGGAAAAATTCGGCAAGTTTCATACGCTTTAAAACAAACGTTCATTACCATCATCAACTGAATAAGGAAATCAAAATAAAATTTAAAAATGAATCGCAACGTAACCAACACAAAATGGTTAAACAATAGAAGTGAAAAACAAAGCATATCAATGCTCTGGAATTTTATTTCATTCGTAAAAATGTCGATTCCTTTATTAATGATATCAGTTTCTCAGAAACCCTCCAATCCGCTTGGAAATGAATCCTGTCCTAACTTTCATCTTTTGACTACCATCGCTCCCCTCGGTTACCGTGGTTTTCATAGCTTTGTTTTTCGCCTTTTCCATTCTTTCATTTTTAACGTTACGTTTCGTTTTGTTTGCATAATTCACAAATTGGTGGATATTTAAAGTAAGCGCTTATTTTGAGAACTCGAATTGAAACTTGTCGACTCTTTACACCTTAATTTTTAAATTAAATAAAGTTTTTTCTTTGGCAAGTATATTCAATCCTGATAAGTGTTAGATATGAATCTTTCACGATTCGCTGTTATATTCCTCTATACTTGTTTTACATTTTTATTATTTATTCCTCTATATTTATTTTGCGGTTAAATGTACCGTCAGTTTGTCCATGACTCACATCAATTGTTGAAGATGGGAAATTGTAAGCATGGTCCGGTTTCTAATCACAAATTGGAAAGAAACGGAGTGTTCCGTTCTGACCATCATAAATATATACATTTAGAATCATTATTCAAAAATATAAGCAAAAAAGTATATACATTAGGGGTCACACATAAACTTAAAGTGAAGAAATAAAATAGTTATCGAAATCTAGTTAATCATTTCCTTTAGTACTGACGAAAGTACGACGAAAAACATCAAAATATAGGTCCAAATATTAGACCTAAATTCGAACTTGTTAAAAGAAACAACCATTATAAGTTTCATGATATGAATAAAACAGGGGGGTTGAAAAGTTTTTATTATAAAACACCTCCAAGTTTCATAAATAAATATTTCTCTTTAAAAAAATGTTATGAAAATATCAAAGCTTTCATGAACATTTTGCTTGATTTGCAAAACCTCTTTTCAGACCCAAAAAATTGAAAAGATGAAAAAAAATGTGATTTTTATTTATTTATTTATTTATTTTTTATTATTTTTATTTTTTAGATTAAACAATAAGGCTAAATTTAGAAGCAGCCTTTTCAATTTCATAGTGCTTAAACCATTCGAATCCAATGATGTTTTATTTTAGACCTATCACTGTTTCATACAAAACCCAATTTATTTTGGGCTAATATGTTTTAATATTGGTCGGAGTAGACCAGTGTTTAAAGAATCGGACTCCACTCCGAAGAGCCCGAGATTCGATCTTCGACTCCGATTAGACCCATCGAGGTGCGTGCTCGTAAAATCTGGGGAATCGAAAGTCCTGTGGTCTGTCGCTGAGCAGTACCATGTGTATAAGGATCTGGAGAAAATTTCCTTCCCCTTCAGATTCTAAATTGTCTAATCTCACGAATGATTGGTGCTGCCCCTTATCCGTGGGGTCTGAGCTAAGATGTATTATCCTCCTTGCAGTGCACTCTTGTCAAGCGAAAGGCGCACCAACCTGACTAAATTCGCAGAAGGCCCATGCCTGGCGAGCTTGACTTGCCCAAGTGTCATTAGAAACAACAAACATGTTTTATTTCATTTGCCTTTTTTCGCTTGCATCCTTTTTTTCCTTGGACAGTACTAGAGAAGTAAAATTGTTCAAATATTAGACCTAAATTCGAACTTGTTAAAAGAAACAACCATTATAAGTTTTAAATATAAGTTTTAAATCAAGAACATTGAATATTAAAATGAAATTCCCTTTCAAATTCCATTTTCGTCATATATCATCATGAAATATTGATATTTCTTAACAATATATCGCGATTATTTTACACTTGTTAATATTTTCGTTTCTCAAAAGAAATTTATCAACTCTCACGATATTATAATGTTCGATTATAATATAATATTTAATTTTTACATAGATACGGAATATGATATATCATCTTCGACTATAATCGTTATCGATGGTACTCGCGATGCATGAATACATAAAAAAAATATCGGTTTCGCAATGTTATAATATTCGCCCTTAGAAATTTCTCCGAAAAAATGGTTAAATAATAATTTATTGAATGGTTATTTTACCATATTTAATCAAAACAGTCAAATAACCATAAATAAAATGGCAATCAAGCTGTTAAGTTTGCGAAAAACTGTTTATTAATTGCTTTCATCTAATACGCTTAAACAACCAGAATTTTATAGCACCAACTAGAACCACCAAATGAAGCTACTTGTTCTTTGCAACTGCGTACATAACATACCTGAGCGGGCTTATCTGTCAATCTCATGACCGGCAGAACTAGAGCTCGAGTCCTAGTGTTGACACCACAATATTTCCTCCATTCCTTTCAACACATGAAGAATTTCCAGTATCCGGCACTCTCCAAAGCCCATTACCTTACAAAAAGCCGAGCTCCTGTCTAAATAAATAATTAATTTCTGACGTTTTTGAAAAATGCTAGCTGTAAATGGTTAAAAAAACCTTATAATTTTGTATTCATGGTTTTATAACCATACTTTTTGTACATGGTTTCAAAACCATAAAGGAAAAAAATATTTTTTACCGTAAACTTTACGGTTAATCGGATGGACAGACAGCTGCCAGTTATTTTATCATAGTTTTAGAATGAAAATTTTAACAATGTAGTAAATATTTAAGTAGTAAAATTTAATTAACTTTTCCATTTTTTTTTCAATTTAAAATAATTAACATAAATTTGATTAAACAAAAATTAAAGTTTTTTTTTTTAATTAAGATTATACTTCGGAATATTTTTTCTTGAAACTGATTCTTTCATCCGCCCTCTCCTATAATATTAAGAATCATCAATATTTTGAAAAGTAGGAAATAAATACCATAAAATTAAAATACCGTAAAATTTATTACCGTAAAATTTTCAGTAGTTTTATCAGAAATTTAAGGAACTAGAAAACGTTTAGAAACTGGACACCATTCTTATGCATAAAATTATCAATGCGAAAGTCAGATTAACGAATATAAATGTGCTTATATTTGATTTAAAATTTAAACCGAATGATTTTAAAGTGCTATTAAAATTCCACATCTATTTCACGACTTTTCGAGATCAACGCCTCTTACGGCAACATGATTTTAGGACCATAAAATTAACGTATCATAAATATGTCTTTCTCTTAGATTAAAAAATTACAAATATTAGCGATAAGCTTCTTTTTAAAAATATAAAGCAGAATATAGCATATTGTATTTTAAATTAACAAATAAATTTAGTTATGAAATGTTACAAGCCTAATTTGAATTCCAAGAACTTAAAATAGAAAAATATCGAATTTTATAAGGGTCCTAATCTTCTCGTAAATTGTATCTGTGCGTCATTTTTTTTCCTTAAAGAAATTTATAGTTTAAGAACATGATAGAAGAAAAAGAATAAATGTCTGAATATTCTATTTGTTTTCAGAGTTCATGTATTACAGTGTTTTACACAACACAAATTTCTCTAATTGTTTTAAGATAAATTCTTTCGTAAACCTTCAAATCTTTATCTTCCTAAGACTAAATAAAATTTTATAGCGTCAGCCATCTCCGTCTACTCAATATAAAAGATTATTCCGAACAAAAAGTATATATCTCTTGGATATTCTTTTAATCTTTCATTTTATGGATTCTTAGTTTTCAAAGCTAGCCATTCTTTTAGTGAATGCCTCCAACAAGGAATAGATGTTTTCCTGCAACGTAAGTTCTCTTTGTTTTGAACGTAATATGCCATATTCTAATGTTTCATACAAGCCTGCCTACCGTATACCAAACCTATCCTGTGATATGACATTAAGTGCAGTATATGAAATACTGTGTGCTATATAACAATTGCTCAACTAGATCATTTATATATCATCCAAAGCTAAATCTTGTGTATCAACTAGCGGTTAATCAATTGTATCAAACAGCACTAAATTCTTTGCATTGAACAATATATCCTTTATATCAACTAACACTAAATCCCTAGTATCAATCAGCTCTAAACTCATTGTATCAATTGGAATATTTTTGATTTTTCAAGCTTGATCAAAATGAAACCATCTCCTATTTCAAGAAGCTCCATGACGATTAACAGTATATGGAAAGTGCGAGGGAGGCGTCCAACAATTCGTCGAACTTGCAAAGTTTTCATTCCGCGAGATCTTCGAGAGTTGGATACATTACGGCTTCCAGCCACATATGAGGAAGATCATATAATTGTGCAAAAACTGAAAGCTTTCACCAAGCATAAGCTTCATCACTTAATACTAGTTATAGTCATAGCACTTTATTTGTACGCCGGAGCAGTATTGTTTCAGTACTTGGATTCTCAGTGTTCCGAAGTGAATTTAATGAACATGACTGAATTTCGAGAAGACATGATAGAGAAACTTTATAATGATTCAATGAAAGTTATTCATGATTTAGAAAAATGGAATGTAAGCATGAAAAGTTCTCTTAAATATTATGAAAATAAACTATATGAGTACTGGGAAGCAGGTTATGGTGACAATATGATCAGAAGAGAAAGAGAAGGTTTGAGTATCGAGGCTGCAATATTTTACTGCTTCACAATAATAACGACAATAGGTAAGATTTTTTAGCAATTTTCTTTAGAGTCAATTTTCACTGGATGCGATTTTTTTCCGCATGCAAACTAAAAACCGGATTGGTGAGTTTTTAAAGGGTAAATGTTTTCATCTAGTACTCATTTGCATGCGATATAATCACATCCAGTGAAAATGGTTCTTAATTTTAATCTCATAAATTCCAACTATATTACTCTTTTTGGCAGAAAACCTCTCCTATTGCCTCTCCTAAATTTTATTTATATATATAATTTATAAGCATTTCAAAATACATATTTCGACATGATTATGAAATCTTTAATACTATGCATATTTGAATTACTTACATGACGTGGTAGTCAAAATCATTTCAAATCAAATTTAGTGTAGCAAGAATCAAATATTAAAACATATGATATCACACGAAAAAATTTCCTGCTTAAAGCGTAAAAGGTAGAAGATACAAAATAATACACTCTTATTTTAAATTTAAAAAAGCGTCATCAATTGTTATTGAAATTATAAAAGTTGTTGTATTATAATACGTATTCAGTACTATTCGTTTATGTAAAAATATAATTAAATTCATTATATATTCAATAAATAATAATAATTGTACTTATAATATTTCCCCTATGAACAAATTTTCAGATCCATCTTTACTTCATCATTTACAATTCTAGTGCAGATTAGAACTCAAGTTCCTAAGACTTCCCAAAGAAAGTCCAATTAAGTTTCAGACCAAGAAAATAAAAATTATTACAATAATTATTACAATAATCTTTTGCTATGCAGGCAATGCCCAGAGCAGCTAAAAAAAGAGGATGACAAATTATGACAATTTTTCTAGGGTCACCAACCCATTTAAGCAAAATTTAATTCTTCTGCTATTTTTTTTTTTTAATTTTTTGCTATAACTAAAAAATTTTATTTTTTCTGGTTCCTTAATAATTAAGTTGAAATATTCCCCTTCTAATATTATAATATTTGCTGACGAAAACGTTGTAACAATTAAGTGCCATTGTTATTGTTAACGATTTAAGTGTATTTTAGCATATAACAATCTCTCCTACCCATGAGTGCGAATTCTCGTACCCCGTAACAGATTATTTGAATGAGCTTTCTTGATTTTATTACAGCTGGTGTTTAAAACTATTGTATAACAATTAAATAATAATAAAAATGCATAAAAAAATAAAGGTAGCGAAAAAATTAATATTTACAATTTTTTTAACTATTTCATTGAATTGTGAGCATACTCTTCTGGCTTCACCTTCATGTATGCCTTATAATCTTTAAAAAAATTATCTTCATACCCATGGAGAGAATTACTCAAGTAATTTAAAAGACTAATAGTGTAGTTCTAGTTAACAGCTAAACCTATTCATATTTCGGAAATCTAAGCTTTCTACACCCTTTTCCATGCTTACCGTAAAGGTTTGAATCGGCCACCTCTGGGCGATAAAGACCAGGTTAACTTCATCTCTGTTTATTCATTACACTTGATTTTCAACAGAGTAACCATTTTAAGTAAAGGTAAGGATTTTTTAAATTGAAATAAAGCAAACTATTTGTTTCACTTCCAATTTTTAAAACCCGATGCAAAATAAGCATTCCTTCTCGTACTTTTGAGACTAATAACGTACCTCTTTACTACGTTTTCAATTAAGCAAATACAAAAGAAAGGATATTGAATTTTTTTTAATAAACATACTTCCTGCACTTCAGTTATAAATTTGACCAAGTAGTAAGCCCTGAGTAAATCTGTACCACAATATTCCCATATACTCCCTTATATATTTCCATTGAGTATAATATTCGCTCAATAGATCATATAAAACTAGTTCTTTTTAAAATAAATCTAAAAAATAAAACTATTTATTAAAGCAATCGGCAAAACGGAACCAAAAATTAGAGCTGCATAAATACTAAAAGAAAAAGAACTATTGAGTCTGCACTACAGTTGATCAGTAAAGTTTTACATTTTGAAACTAACTAAAAGACCCTTAATAAATTCTTTGAAACCTAGTAATTTCATGTTGTTAAATATTTTTTTCACCTTCAAGAGTGAGTACAGTGTACGAACTAAAAAACAGAGCACCTTAACAATTTTGCTCTCATAATTGAATTTTCACAAACTAAGATATAATCTTAATGTTTCTAGGAGCTAAGGGCCGGTTATAAATGGAGTCACGCTTTTTTACAATATCTCTCCCCTTTTTGACTAAGTGTCACACGTCTCACTAAATTGAATAAAATTATGTAAGAAGTTAAGAAATAAAGCAGTATGTTTGATATCTTCTTTCAAATTTCATTTGTAAATTTCATGCGTTTTAATGACATTTGAGAGCATAATAATGAAAATCATAAGACGTGTACTTATTTTGATAAACAAATACATAAAAATAAATAGTATAAAAAATACTTAATATGATTTTTAATGCTTTTAATTTTTTAAAAAACGTATACCCTTAAGGAAAAATTGAGGTATTTTTGAGGTATAAATGACGTACTTTTCAAAGGTATAAATGAGGTTATTTTAATACGTCGTTAGGGTGAAAAGGATGCAAATGATGACTACCTCAAATATACCTTCAGAGGTATATGTGCATCAACTTGCGGTGTTTCATCTTACATCTGTGGAGAAGTAGATATTTACTACTTTAAGGAGTTTCGTTTTCAACCTTAGGTTATTGTTATTACTTATTAACCTGAAGTATATTTTTTTATACCTGTGGGAGTATTTATTCAACAACCTCCTAAGGTGCTTCATTTAACACTTCAGGTTATTCTGTATCTACCTCAAGTGTATTTCTTGACAGTTGTCAAGGTAACTTTTTACTAACGTGAGGTGTTTTATGTTCTACCTCAGGTTATTATATTTCAATCTCAAGTATATACTTTTATACTTGTGTACATTTTTATGAACTTAAGGTGCATCATTTTACATATAAAGTTATCATAAATCAACCTCAAGTCTATTTTTCGACCGCTGGATTGGTTGTTTTTGATGAACGTGAGGTGTTCAATGTTCTCTACTTTAGGCTATTATTTTTCAACCTCAAGTGGGGATTAATATAGTTGTTAAGGTATTTATTTATCTACCTAAAATGTGCCATTTTACACTTCCGATTATTATTAATCAACCTCAGGTGTATTTTTTGACACTTGGAAAGGTTATTTTTTATTAATGTGAAGTATTTTACCTTAGGTTATTATTTCGTAATCTCAAGTATAGATTTTTGTATTTTTAGAGGTATTAAATTATCAACCAAAGATGCGACATTTTACACTTAGCTTTTATAGCTCAACCTAAAGTAGTTTTTTTTATAGTACTTACAAAGGTAATAATGCACATACGTGAGGTGTTATACGGACTACCTAGTTTATTAACTTTTAATCTTTCCATTATTTATATTATATAAAGAATAGTGTATATCTTTACATTTTTTCACTAGTAGAGATCTTCATTTATCAGCCTGTAGTTTTTAATATTACACCTTCGGAAGTAATTGCTTCTTTTGTTAAGCTATAAAATAAAAATTTCAAAGTTATAATTCTTCTGTAATTTTAATAGATTCAAATAAATTATCTTGAAATGGCACTTATCCGAACTCCACAGTTAAAAAAAATTTATTGTGGAAACTCACATTTTCATAAAGTAGATGTCTAAGGTGCTTGAATTTTTAAAGCTATAAAACTGTAAATTTAGATAATTAGTCAACTGACGTTCAAAATAATTTAAAACTAAAATTTAATTTTTTTTTTTCAAACCAACAAAATTATCTTAAATATTGATTCTGTCTCCCTGTTGAAACTTGGAAGCATTGGAATCTAAAAGAAAAAATAATGAATTGGTAATAATGAATAAGAAATTAATAAATTAGATAATATAATGAATTATATTATCTAATAATGAATTAGAAATTTTTTTTTCATATTTAAAATTAAGTGGTTGAAATAAATTTTTTTCTCAGATAAATGATTCACTTCTAAGATTTCGCTTTTGTCATTTCTTCTCAATCCTCGTAGCTAAACGCGTTTAAAAGTGTGACAGGTACCACGGACACAAAATAAAATACACTGAGTACTATCATTAACAACCTGTATAATTCCAATCTTATTAGGAAACTTTAACACTTTTTATTTTCCCATAAATGAACTTACATCTTCCATTATGGTACTTGTAAGTTTGATAACAAAATTTTCTTTCTTTTTTCTGACAAATCTTTACATAAATTAAATAAGACTAGTCCATATTTTTAAAATTTTTGTCAGATTTCATAAAATTAAGTTTTTTAATCAATTTTTGACGCTGTTTCTGAAAAGGACTTTAGTCATTGTCAATCACATCAGAGTTAAACAAAAAATAGTAATTTTAATATTTTAATCAATGTAATCAAGAATCAACAATCGTTTAATAACATGACATTTTAAAGTTAGGTACCAGTTTTTATGCATTTTTAACACCGAATCAAATAAAACTAACCACAGGCTGATAAGAGCATTTCTTTAAAGTTGGGAGCAATTTAATAAGAGAAATCGATTTGAAATAAGAGACTGAGTAAAATTCTTCCCACGTAACTTATAATACTGAGCAGGATAAAACTAATTGTTAGTTGCTACAATTATTTGTTTAAATATAAAAACATATCTCAAAGGATGAAATTCAAAAAAATGCATATAACTTTCTAGCAATAAATGCTTTTAATTGCAATTGATTTTATTCGATTCAACATTAAAATGCACAAGAAACAATACTCACTTAGCTCTAAAAATTTTAAGATTTCCGAAATGTGCTAATTTTTTAAGTAGTGAACTATATACAGCTGCATAAAAATTCTCAAAACCTTGAAACAAATTATCATATAAACTTGAAATCGGGTTTTATTTAATTCTGCTTAATATTCTAGTAAGTAATAATAATATGCTTAGCAAATAATTAACATGGGTAAATTGCGAAAAAATAACATGAAGTGAAAAACAATAGTTCTGTGATCAAACATTAAAAAAATGAGATAGTACAGTTATTTCTTTTCAATTATTAAATATCAGGCAAACTATTGCTATCAATCGAAAATAAAATGTGTGCTTCACAATTCAGAATGTTTCTAACTATTGTTAGTGTGATAAGAAATAATAAATAGTCCTAAAAATTTTACTTTGCATGGAAATATTTATTGTTAACTTATTTTTATAGATGTATGCAAAAACATTTTGATTTGTCTCAATACTTCAAGAGATATAGCAAAATTTGCAAAAGGATAAAAAAAAACGTGTTAACTTTCGACTGCTCTTCTGACTATATCAAGACAGTAGTCCCAACATTCGACTACACTGAGTTTCTCCATTGAATTGTACAGTAAAGTTATACATTTCGAAACAAGCATAAAAATGTTTACTTGTAAATTCTTCAAAACCTAAATATTTGTTTCCTGTTGGTTTTTCTCAAACTTTAGTCATTTTCCCCTCCTATAAAGGGTGAATTCATTTTTCAAAATAAATTTTAAGTTAATTACATGTTAGTATTTTTGATCTAAATTATCAAATTACTAAGGTGCCATCTTAATGCTTCCAGGGGCTTACCTTAAATGTGCTAGTTAACTTGCACACTAGTTGCTAAAACAGCTGTTTCTGAGCCTATTAGAATGCAATTTTCGACAATAATTATTAGAAAACATAAAACTTGTAAAATAAAGATAATTCAGATAAATACATGCACCAGCTCAACGGCGCACGAACAGGAAGTCCATAATGAGGATGCACAGCTAGTGGCATGCAATAACATTTCCAGCATGGGTTGCTATGCAATTCACAATCCATATGACTTGCCCAACCACCCCCTAAAGTTTGTACTAATATTTATAGAATCCTGTATAGGGTTCAAAGTATTATTAAAGACTAGAAAAAAGCAGTCCACAAAGTATCTTTATCTATTAATCCCTTAACAGATAAAGATACTTATATGAAATAGAAATTCCTTTATTCATGGATATTCTTACATAAAACAAATGTTTCATATTAATTATTTTTTGTAATTTGTTTGTGATTCTTCTACAATATTTTCAATGCCACAAGCATCATTCAATGGAATTAAGCAAGAAATAGAGCAAAAAATGCACAATCAATGTACTGATATGTAAAAAATTATCTGAATTAAATTTAGGCAAAACAAACTATATACAATTTGTTTTTACATGAATAAAATATTTATGTGATGTAAAAAATAAATATGAACTATAATATAAATTTATTTATTTTTCTAGGTTACGGAAATATTGTACCATGCACTACTATGTCAAGAGCAATCACAACCGTTTACGCAATAATAGGTGTTCCTCTGATGATTTTGGTATTAGCAGACCTAGGAAAACTCTTCACGAAAGTTATGAAATTCATCATCTGTACTGCAAAAAGATTTTATAAAACTGGAACATTTAAATTGCTAAAAAGCTCCGTAATTACAGAAAACAAACCTTTACAAGTAAGTTAAATTTTTATAATCTGAGGAGCCACTTAATTATGATCAACCTATTAATTTCTCGATTGGTCACATTTTTCTCGAATACAGTCTTAATTCGTTCTTGACACTAATGGACGGTTGGCTCCTTCTATTTCAGACCACAAATGCTCAAAAGGATTTAGATATGGGTGCTGTAAGACCCAAACAAAATGAAATGTTCATCATGTTCTACTAACTAATCATTACAATATCAGTTGTATGGCAAGGCACATTATTCTAAACGTATCCTACAACACCAAAATAAATAATCAGCATTACATGATGCACTCGGTTAACAATGTTATTTATACATGTTTTATTAAGATAATATGCACAAAAAAGGATCTAAATAATGTCAGCATCATAATAGCCCTCCAGTGTAAACACTGTAACGCATTAACTTATTTGCATCTAACTGCCGGATGGTTATAGTAAAGTGACCACGTGTATAAGTAATAACGCCAAATTAATTGTATGTCACAAACAAAGCTTAAAATCTGGCATTCTATAGAATGCTTAAGCATTGCATTGTATATATGTAATACCTATACCTGGAAATATGAATATGAAACAACTAATATTTCACATTAAACAACTGGAAAAAAGTCGCCATGGACAGGAGGTGTTGGAGACTACGTGTGGTTGAGGCAGCCAGGGCCTGTAAGGCGCTGTCGTGCTGAAGAATAATAATAATATTCCACATACTTCCCAGGTATTCTACAGAATCCCAAATTATAAACTAGCTAAGTATGACATCCGTTTTTGGTTCATTTCGAATATCACGTGGTAAAGCACGTGACTTTTTACTAGCGCCACAGGCTCGGAATTCGTCGGTTGCAGTTCGCGAATTTTAATTTCTTATCTTTTATATAAAATTTTGTTTATCTTAATAAGAAAAGCATACATTTTGTTTTCCACAGCTTTCATTTTTCTACGTATTATGAATAAATTTTTTTAATGGCACTCTCCTTATTGTTTCAAAATAGCATTTGTATTTTAGAGAAATACACATCATTATATATAATTGTCTTATCAGGACCTTTATATCATACTTTGCCAAAATAGCATTTGTCATTCTATAGAATGCCAGCATTTCATACTTAGTCGGTAACAAATATATATAATGATCATAACAAGCAAATAAATATGCACAACGTGATAAAATAATCAGTTTTAAACGGGTTTTCATGCTCTCAATAGATAAGATTATTCAATGGTAACCCATATTGCATGGGTTTTAATTTGGCTAAAACCCATGATTATATCATTAAAGAAACACATCCTTATCTTGAAATGACTGTTTGATATACACTCAAACATGGCATAAATTTTATGCAAATATAAGACATTCTTTATGTTGTATTAGGATAGTGTATTAGGATTCTTCTATCGGTGTTATTTTTCCCTAAGAAACAAATATTCTTATTCCATAAAAGTTTTATCTATTTTTCATAGAATGTAGTATTCATAATATCAATATAATCAGTTGTGCCTTTCATTGCAGTACATGACCGTATCCTGGAGAACTGTTCATCCAGAGAAAACAACAGAAAAGAATGATATGAGCACATGGGAATACAATTATTCAAATGACCAAAGCAACCAAGTGACAACTCTAACTATTCATAATGATGATTTATATAAAAATTTAGACTTCTTAAATCCAGATGAAAAAAATCATAAACATGTTGAAGTAAAAGACGATTTTTATATTCCAGTAAGCTTAGCCATTTCCCTTGTAATAGTGTATATGATAGTAGGTGCATTTCTTTTCTCACAATGGGAAAAATGGACATTCTTTGAAGCTTTTTACTTTGTTTTTATATCAATGACTACCATCGGATTTGGTGATTATGTTCCAAAACAGAATGATCATCTGATTGAAGCATTCAGTTATCTTATACTTGGCTTAACACTCACATCAATGAGTATTAATGTTATCCAAGAAAAATTAACAGTGACATTTCAAAAAGCTAGGGTACGAATAGGAAATAATGCAGTTCTCAATGTTGGCTCTTTATTAGAAGATGAAGACCACAGGTCAAGAGCTGGACAAAGAAACTCTTTAAACCTGGAAGACTGTGGGAACATTACTGGATGTAAAATGACATTTAGAAACAGTTTAACTGTAAATTCCATTTCACAACTACAAGTAAAACCATTTGTAAAAATTTCACCTCACATCTCAGAAGATGGAACTAAAACAGAATTTTTGTTGAAAGTACCATCTCAGCATAGATTTACATTTTATGATTCCCCTTACAACACCATTCAAGATGACGATAACACAAGAATTGCTCGTAATGAAGAATAAAAATAGAATAGAATAATTTGAGAGAAATAAAATTTTGTAGTTAGAAAAAAATGGCACAAAAATGTGTCAATAATGGGACATTTTATTGCTGTGTTTGTTTAATTGATTGAAAATTGTATGTTTATTTCTTTCTGTAGCTTTCAACATTGAAAAGTTGGGAAAGAGCTAAACTGTCCTCATTTAGATTTTTTGACTTGTGTAAAATGTTCAGATCTTAATAAATTATATGAATTTTCATGATTTATTATTAGATTTATAGACAAATGAATACAAAGCAATATATAGAGGAAAATTATTCAAATTTATCAAGATTTTCGGAATTTATAGAAATTTGAGAATTAATGATTTTTTACTTAAAAAGTTAGTCTTTGTAGCTAAAAGCAACTTTTTTTTTCAATTAAAAAAACAGTAATTGCAAAGTGACCTTTTAAAAAAAAATTCATGTACGATTAAATCATTGAAGGTAGATAAAATTTGTTTCTTACACAAATTTTATCAAAAGGCATTTTTAAAACAAATACCTGAATATTTCGATTGATCATAAGAGGTATCAAATGTTTTAGTTTTTAAATTCATTAGGAAAATTATTTATTTCCAAAACTAATAAGATGAAATTGTTTACTACAGAACAAAACCTTTCTTCTCATATAGATATTTTTGTTTTACTTCTGATATGAAGTCTGAAAAAAATTTAGTACATAAAATGCAATAAAGATATTATAAAAAAAATAATGGTTTTGGATCAATTATTTAACCCTCTTAAAGCTATCGAAACTTACATTCAACAAAAGGGATATGAAAGAATCTAAAGCATTCAAATTAAAGAGTCGTCTGCTGGTTAAAAAGCATTAAAACATGAAAGGATAGTAAAAAGTAATCATTGGTCTACAAGACCAACAATTCATCCTTATTGTAGTCAAAATATAGAGTTTTTGAGCAATAACCTCTTCAATAAGCAAACTGGTAAAATAAACTATTTTAATTAAAGGAAATAGTATAAGATGAATAATGAAATAAAATGAAATAAATGAAATAAAAGTTAACTCAGTTTTTAAAAATAAAATAAAAAAGATTTTTAACGTTCCGACGATCGACAACACCAAATGGGCCAATTAACGAGCATTATGACCAAATTCCTATGTGTTATTTACAATTGGGGTTTTACTTTTACTTGTTGAAGTGAATATGCGGACTGCCACGAGAGAGCATGATTATTAAATGTTGCATCATATTGTATCCTTTTACATCATGGTTTAGAATTAGTATATACTTTTGAAACAGATCTAATAATAATAGTTTACTTTCGTTAAAGGTATGCTGGTATCAACATTATGTAACTTATGTGAGAGTTAAACAGATCTGCCATCTGTACTTTAATGCTTATGCAGTCAATGCAATACTTATGCTTCTGCCTGTGGATTATTGTTACTACTATCGCAATGCAGTCAACTTTTGTTTCTTGTCATCCATCATCATATTTATTTTAAGAGTTATCTATTTTGATCATTGTCATGTACTTATGCATTATGTGGAGTGAATAATTAAAAGCTTCTTTGAATCATTGTGTCTTGAGTTTTCATTAACGTTTAGTAATGTCATCTTCCAGCATGAACTTGCAGGGAGCAGTGTATTATTCTAGTTACACTTTATTTTCATGTTCGTGCATGTGGCGAGCCATTGAACCCATTCAGAAAAGAAAAAAAAGCTATTTTAATATGGTGATTTTATAATTGATATTTTAAATTACTTTTACTCTAAAAAAAAGTTTGGTTACAATATTAAAAGTGTTCTTAAAAGTTTTTTTCTCAAAGAAAATAGAACCCCACAATTTGAGTGTTTTGAACTCAAAGCTAAAGTTTTAACTTTAAACTATGCATATATCTTGCTTAAGGGAGATGTTTAAATTTCAAAAATTATTAAACTTTTTTTTTTAAAAAATCACAATTCGGTGAGATTTCCCACCTAAATCAAAATTATTAAATTCATTAAAAAATTCTCAATATTCACACATTTTTATGAAGTGGGACAATGCAGTATAAGAGTAAGTTTTATACCTTAAAAAATTAACTTATAAACTTTTTCATTTTTACAAAACTTTATCTTTTCTTCGGATTGACATTAGCAAAGAGAGATTTTAAATAGATAAAATTTAAATTAATCTGTATTTCATTAGTAATAAGTTGCTAAAATCAAAACAGTCAATAAAAAGATCAGCCAATGATATTACAATAATTTATTAAAAATGTTTATGTACAAATATTTAAGTCCTTATACACTCATGGACAAAAAAATTAGCGCATACTTTGATATAAGTAAATGATTAGAAAATCAAAGAAAAACTATAATCTTTGATTTTTGAATCATTTACTTGTATCAAAGTAGTCATTACGTATGTAAAATTTCGTTTCATTTTGACGACTCCTTCTTGGTGTGCTTATTTTTTTGTCCATGAGTGTGCATTTTATTTATAGTCCCAGAAGTAGTATGACAAAATGTTAGCAATTTAAATATTTTTTTATACATATTGCAATCACAATCTGAAGTCTATAAAAAATTATTGCCATTAATTTTCTCATCTAACTGTGATGCATTAAAGATTGAAAATTAAAAATTATTTAAATGAGTTGTAAAACAAGTAAAATTATTAGAAATTAACTATGTTTAAAAATATTGTATATTATCCTTTTAATGGTACAGTCCATGTTATTTCAACAACTCTTTCAATTATTTATATTATTTATTTATTATGTCATTTGCCCAGGTTCCCAAAAATGATTTTAACTTTTGAGTTTTTAAACCTCAGCATGCAGTGGTAAGACAAAAAGAACAACTGCAATTGTTTTGAATTAGCTTGAAAATTATATTATAAACAAAATAAAGAAAACATTAAAATGGCTAACATCTTCATGACACTGCCTTTTGGAATATTTGTTCAAATGCAAATAAATCATTTAAACTAAAAATAAGTTATAACTCTTGATGATCAGACTGTTGGCCATTTAGATTTAACACATCTGGGTTTAACTGTAAATCTGAATGTTCAGTTTCATTTGAAGAATTCTCAGATGAGAGTTGAGCCTCTTCATTCAGTTTACTTATTTCTAAAAAAAAAATATTTTTTTAGCTATACAAAAACCTTATGTTCTAAAATAAATAAAATTATACACATTATAGTAAATTGATATAAGAAATATGTGAGGAATCACTAAGAAAATTTTAAAACTATTTATTAAAGATTGTCTTTTCTTTATTTGATAATGATAATACTAATCTAGTACTGTCTTGTTTTCCTTAGACTTTCCCAGACTGAAAGTCTCTTTCAGTTGCTCTAGAAACTACTCTTAGATCTACTCTAGAAGTCATTTCTTATAGGGAAGCATTATAAGTAGATACTTCAGTTGATAAATTTATAAACTGAGTGAAGACAGAACTAGTTCAATTTATTTTTTGCACTGTGTTTAGGGCTCTATCAAGGAAAATAGATTTGATTGCTAGATGAAATTTATATTTTGTTGAAGAGGTTTGATTAGTGTATACCATAAGTTGAAGATGTTAATAAGTCCAAGTTAGTTTTGATTTCATTAGTTGAAGAGGTTGGATGCTTTTATCATAAGCTGAAGAAGCTTGATGAATTTACCATTTGTTGAAGAGGATGTTGATTGGTGAAATTGTCCATTCCAGTCTGATGTAAGCAAGCAATTATTTAACAAAAATCATAAATTGCTTAATAGAGAATCAGGTTATAATAAATAAAAATGTTTTACTTCTGAACTTTATGTGTAATCATATGGAGCTCCAAAGTAAAATAAAATCATTCATACATAAATTAATTAATAAATTTAGAAAATGGCAAGGATGGTGTGGCTGCAGGGCCAAGCCCCACAAGGCAGCTCCGTCTCTCAAGAAATCCAAAATGCAAGTGTAATGCATACGTCGAAATAGTTTTCGCCAAGAAAAAATAAGGAATCTGTGCATTGGCTATTAATTTATTCAATTTCATGCCAAGGATCTTTTTCTTAGCCTTACGCATTCAAATATGTTGGCGGAAAAGAAAGCGGGAGAAATCATAATGAATTTTAATAAAATCAAAATATTAGCAACCATATGACGGTTTTCTAATTTTATGCTAATGTGTTGCGCAGAAGTGGAGGGAATCTCTAAAAATAGATTTTATTCTGGACTCAATTCAAGGTTGAGGTATAAAAAGATAACAGATATATTACTGATTTTTATTTAATGACAAAGGATTTTTTAAATGACAGGAAATATGTTATGCATATTTCAGTATAACAGGCTCATATATGATTTAAAAAAATAATAATATTTAAATTTTAAAACAATTTAAATGTCAATTTTCTTTTGTCAACAAAACTCTACACTATAATGAAGTGAACAAATCAACAAAATCCTCATAAAAAAATACAATGAGTCTAGTGGAGTTCTTATGAAAGCAGGGCAGCTCTTAATCCCTCTATTTATGTATTTGCACAGTCTCATACAGAATTTCTAACCAAGAGCTCTTTCTTAGTTTCAGATAATAAAAACTAAAATAAAGAAAATGAGAAGTACCTGTTGAAAACACACATGAATGGAAATATTAAAGGAGAATGCCTTATCCTATTTAACTATGAGAATCAGGTGGGGGAACAATTATTGCAAACTTTTTAAAATGTGAAAAACCTTGTAGAATTATAAGATTTTGAAATGAATATTCAGACTTTGTCTGATAAACCTAAAATTGACCACCTGGGAATAAAATCCAAAATTTCTAAATGTCTGGCTTTCTACTGTAATGAGCATTTTAAACAGGGATTGGCTTCTTGTCTCCTAATAATCTCTATAGATGAAGAGGAATAGTTTATATACTACTTGTCTTTTATTTGCAAGTATTAAATTATCAAATCTTTGCTCTTTTTATTTTTTTCATCTTAAGATCCAATATCTCCCATAAATGAAAAAAAAACAACGGTAAAAAAAATTACAATCTTACAAAAGTATGTGTAATACATCAATGTAAATACATCCAATATCCTACATGAACAGTAAGTAATTTGCATAGAAATTTAAACTTATTAATTTTTGGAAAAAAAATCATGAATAAGAAATATTGCCTTCATTATTCTTCCATTAATTATGTTTCACATAGGTTTTAATGATTTAGGAGGCATCATTCTGATACATTTGTCAAAATACTCCATTATTTTAAAGTTATTAAATGGAAAACACTCTTCACTACTTTTGAGTACTGGATAGAAACATTATTTAAGTGATCCCTTCAAAAATCTCAGTATAGTTCAACAAAACTTAACAAAAAAGCTTAATGTATTTGTCAGAGTTGTTATACGATATAATGCAGTTATTCCAAATTAATAAAAAGCTCTAATCAAAAAGTAATTTAGAGAGTTTCGAGATACATTATATCTAAGAGTGGTAAAATATCATGTTAATAATGCAATGCATACACCTTAGTAGACTATATACTTTTTTATGGGCACCAATACGATAAACACTAGAAGACAAACAATTTCACTGTCTCATAATTTTACAGAGGTATGATCATTATTATGGATATCATTTCGCAGGAATTTTTTTACAAGTACACTACCAAGATAGAGTTCATGAAACCTGCATTTGTTTTCATTATACATTTCATAGATTAATGCCCTACTGTAAAATAAACATTAAAACCTAAAACACCTTGCACAAACTAATTTCAAAATAAAATATTATAAGGCTAAAGGTTACATTCAATGTAGTGTTCATACAACTAATTCAAAACATAACTGAAATGATTATATAATTATAGCTAACTCTGCTACTAATAATTGTAGATATTTTGGAACCTAGGATAAAGTTTATGATGAAAATCCTACTTATCTTGAACTATTAAAATTAAACAATATTAAAATTATTTTATACATCTTTTAAGTACTAACTATAGGGAAATAAGACATCAGATAAGGTTCTAAAACTTAAAACAAGATTAATTTCTAAGAAGTTATTATTCTGTAGATTAACTATTAGCCAATCTTCTAAGCATACAAAATAATTTTAGTTAAGTAATTAGTCTATTAATTAAGAATAAATTTAATGACAAATGGTTCAATTAGCTTTTAAAACCTAAAAGGTTAAATCGAAAATGTTAAGTTAATAATATTTTGACACTTAATATTTTTTTCTAGATTTAAAAACTTTGGATCATTGTTAATTAATACAAATGTAGGGTCACAACAGTTTAAAAACTGCTAAAAAATCATTAAAAAAAATTTATGTTATGTTTTCAATCAACATATCAAACAAATTTTATACCTTCTACATTTAAAAAAAAAGAAAATTTAAAATAAAAATTTAAGGAACTCATACCAAAGCATCCTTCATTAGGAAGAAAATTGTAACCATCTGAACAAACTTCACAATTCTTTGGTCCTGGTCCTCTACAATGATCTCTGCATGATTTGTCACACATATTGCAAGATAATTTAGACCCTGTTACATCACTATAGTAACCAATTTTACATTCATTACAAAGATCGCCAATATAGCCAGCATCACAAATACATTCTGCAGGCTCTTCTCGAGTTCCACCATTCTGCATCCAAAAAGAAAAAATTCTTTTAATTTGAAATATTTCACAACATGAAGATATAGATACATATAGTATAGATAATATTTATAGGGGGGAGGGGTATGGACATTGGATTAGAGTGCACACATCTTGAATAACTTTTATTTATTGGACAAATTTCCTTGGTGAGCTAGCATAGATTAGCAACTCTGATATACAGTTTCATGAGAAGTTGCATAATCATACTGTCAAAACTTTCGCAAAAATTTGTAAAAGAAGGTTTTGAAGTAGCAAAAGTAGCTTTCAAATTTTCTCGTTACTCCTTTACCAGAATATTTTATTTTTAAAATTTCAAGGAAGGATGATAATATGCTATAAATTATACTGTTTTATACCTATTTTAATAATAACTATTGTTCTGTATTTTGTTCTCTCTCAGTTAACAAGCATTAAACAAAACAAACACAAGTCTTTGTGGGGTTAGTGTAAACCAATGGTGGTGAGGTTAGTGTAAACATGTCTAAACTGGCCCCATGCAACTTTTAATGGAATCAACATGAATTATTTACAAATGTAACACATTTAATGTCATTTATTTTCCAAATTAGAATGATTTTCTAGAATGATATACCTTTAAAAATAGTGGTTTCAATTTCAAGTAAAACATATAAGACAAATCCGTATATGAATCCATTTTAAGAAAATGTAAAGGCAAGGTTTTATAAAGTTTGTTAAATAAATATAATTCAATATCATTGAATTAGGGAATAAAAGAAAGTTAATACATATTTACCTAATAATACATATTTATTTTACATTAATACATATTTATTTTCTGTCACACATTAAACTAAAACAGAATATCAAAAAATAGTGCCGTCTGCAGTTTTACAAGTTGTTTACATTGCACGAATGAGAGAAATATCGATAAGCCATGTGTTGTCCGTTCAGGCTATTTCACCATCAAGTTAAAACTGGTAATTAAAATTGATTCAACTTAAAAATTGGTTCTGTGCATGTCAATGCAGCAACTTCTTGACTAGGCTGACTAAATAAGAGTTTTAAACAGTGTTGTTCATTAAGTTGGTAGAATGGAAATTATTAATAGATTGAGATTATTATGCTCAATTCTTAAGTAAAAAAACATGGCTTTACTTATTCTAATCATGAATCTTTCTTTTTTTCCATGAAAAAAAAAGATATTTCTCAAATCTCAAGCTGTCAGACTTCCATTACCAGTAAAGGGTAGAAGACTCCATTTCAATATACATTTAAACTTAACAAGTCAAATTTTTTTGATAAAATGAAAAAAAATTCAAAATATTTTTTAAATAAATTAAATTGAAGAATGTTTTTAAAGTGTATTGATTTATGTTCAAAATGCCCTTCTTAGTATAAGGAAATATTTCAGAATAAATCAGTATTTTAATTAAAATATTTGAACATTTATTCTCCAATAAGGCTTAAAGTGAAATTCATTTAATTTGGCTTTAGATATACCCTTCTGATATGCAATAAATAACTAATTAATAAGATGTAAAGTTTATCCACAGTAGCCCCATAGCTCATTCCTACTAGTCCTGTGTAGTAGGGCTAGTGTGGACAAAACAACCTTTTTTAAAAAAAGTAATAATGGAAAAACAAACTGCTTCATAACAGCTTCAGCTCCATAACTGAACAGCTTCATAATTCTAGATATAAACCAAAATATAGATAAACGTCCAAATTACTGTCAAAAAATACAGCACACATTACAAATTCTATTCAATATGGTTTTTTAGACAAATTTATGAAAAGAATGTCTACATTGGCTTCCTCTCCCTTAATAATTTCTTACTAGTCACTTTTCAAGAGAAAAATATTTCTTTCAATCAGTTTTGTATTTAGAATTTGGTGGTTGGTTAATGTTCAAGAGATCAATGCTAATCATTATAATGTTCAATGTTAATCATTATAATTTATATTATTTTATTTTATTAACATCGAAAATATTAAAGTATAAAGAAGGTGAATATAAATCAGCACAGTGTGTCATACTAGGGAGACAGTTTAGATTGTTCAGATGAATGAAAAGTGAGAGTTCAAGTTCTTCATCCCAACTGTTGCAGTAACAATTAAATTGAGTTACCGTCCACACTCCCCCGCCAGTATCAGGGAACTGATATATATCCATCAGGGAAAGAAATACAATGGCCAGATCGAGTCCGTTGTTTGGTTTTCTTTAAATTGTCTGGAGAATCCTAGATTCTGTTCTGTTGAGGGAGAAATTTGGATCTTGTTTAGTTTGGATGGGAATATTCCAAAAGCTGGTTGGAGACGGTCAATAGAAATAGTCTGTTCTTTGTCAGTTATGAGGAGAGTGAAATATTTTTCAATCTTCCAGATGACTTTAAATGGTCCGTCATAAGGAGGTTGTAAAGGTTTTCAAACTGAGTCCCTATGGATAAATACGTGAAAACAAATTTTAAGTTCAGAATGAATAAAAATTCGATGATTATCATGGAGTGACTTAGGTCAAAGTCGCAAATCCTGAAATAGGCTTCGTAATTTACTAACAAATTTATGTGGGGATCATAATTTAAAGTTGGAAGGAAGAAATCACCTGGTAAGCATAAAATTTCACGATATACTAGTTCAGCTTGGGTTGCATCGATGATCTCTTTAACTGAGTAACGCAAGTGGAGGAAAACCACTGGTAGAACGTCTGTTGTCACATGGCACTTCAAAGTGGCTTTGAGTGGCTGATGAAAATTTTCTATCAAGCCGTTGCTTTATGGGTGAAAGCTTGCAGTTCAGAAAAACGTTCAATTCCAAGCAATATTGTTAGGTTGTGGAACTAAGACGATTCAAAATTTGTTCCTCTATCAGTCATGATGTAGGTTGGTATGCCAAAACGGTCAATTCAGCCTGTTAAAAATGCTGCTGTGTTAGTGATTGCTGACATGTCTGTTACAAGAAAAACTTCTGGCCAATGTGTATAACAGTCTGTGCACATGAGACAATATTGAAATCCATCAAATTGCAGAAGTGGCCCAGTGAGATCCAAATGTATATGATCGAATTTTTTCAAAGTAATGGGTATTGATTCAACCTGACAAGGCGTATGTTTATAATTTTGATGGTTGAGAGGCAAGACATTCTAGAGTCCACTTCACACAGTCTTTGTTGATGGAAAGCCACACAAATCTGGAACGGATTAGTTAGATGTAGCTCGAGTGCCAGGATGTGACAATTTGCGGAAAGTATTAAAAATAGTATGACAATGAGATTGTGGAATGTGTGGTCAAATGAATTGAAATTTTGTGTCACAAAATAGCTTCTTGGAGGAGGCAGGAATGTTGACTTCTTGTAATTTTAGTGATGAGTTTGTACTCAAAATTAATTTTAGTCCAGGATTGCCACGTTGGGAATCGGCTATTTCATCATTGTCCACTGTGGTAAGAGTACGAATTGCTTCAACTAGAGATAAAAGGTCAGCGGATACATTATCTGCACCTTTAATAAAACGAATGTTCGTGCTGAATTGTTTGATGAAATCAAGATGTCGGTGCTGATGTGGCAAATATTTGTCCCATTTCTGTCAGAAAACATACATTAAGGGTTTATGATCAGTATATATAGTGAATAAACGTGCCTCAAGCATTTGTCTAAAATGCTTAATTGACAAATATACTGCGAGCTCACTCCGACAGGAATTAAGAAACAAAAATTGAAAAGCCACAGTACCACTTTTATAAAACTGCCAATATCCAAAGCGAAACACGTTATTTCATTTGAAACATAATCTCCTGAATATTATCACATCTGGCTGTCACCACTGTGGTGGTTGGTTAATGTTCAGGAGACTAATCATCAGAATTTATATTATTTTATTTTATTAACATTAAAAATATTAAAGTATAAAGAAGGTGAATATAAATCAGCACATCACCTCACACTACATAGACAGTTCAAATTGTTCTGGCGAATGAAAAGTGAGAGTTCAGATTCGTAATTGTAACTGTAATGGTTGCGATTAAGTTGAGTCACTACAAGATATTTTTGAACTGAACAGTGAATGGAAAGAGTGCCACTGATTGATTTCTGAAGAAATGAAATAGCTCTGATACATCAACATTATAAACTACACTATTGCTTTGAAAGTAACAAGTCTTTACTGGAATCAAGAAAATTGCATACATAGTTTAAGCACTTTACTGAGTATGTATTATTTAAAAATTACCAAACAATAAACTTCTAATTTATTTGCAGTGTAATAACTTGGTGAACACCTTTTGAAAAAAAAATTTATCATAGACCTAAACATTTCTGGCAGTCTAATGAAAATAAGGGTGACAGAAAAATTATTTTTAATGTTTTCAAAATAATAAGTATATTTATGAGTTCATAATACTTATGAATCCACCTAGAAAAATATCCAGAAATCATAATTTCACTTAATTATTAATATTTACAACCTAAAACAGATTATTTTTCGTACAATGATTTTAAAGAAGGATGATAACAGAAAGGACAGATATTATTTAAAACACGAGAAGAGTTATTTTTAAATTTTACGAAAATGTATTATATTTCTGTATGGGAATACTGTCATAAATAGATTTACAAACTAAATTTATTAGTTTTATCGAAAAAAACTTATACTTTCATAAAAAAAAACTTTTTTTAAAGATGCATATACATAGCAGGGTTGGCAAGTTTTTGACACATGACGGTTTTTACTGGTTAATACCATGGTTTTTACCGTCATGTCAAAAACCCCTCTGTCAAAAACGTCAAAAACTGTCAAAAACCCATAGTTTTGATAAAACTGTATTTTAATTTGAGTTTAACTGCTTATGATTTAAAATTAATTCATTTTTGGGCAATAAAATTAGAAACAAAGTTGTTAAAAGATATTTAAGAACAGATTTTTGCATTTTCCCAACATGATTATATCAAATCATACTATTTGAAGTAAAATATTAGGATACTAAACAAAATTTTCAACATTTCCAAGCATCATTTTGTTTGGCATATTACATTACTGAAGAATGTCAAGTCATTCCTGACTTAGAGTTTGTTAGTAGTTACAAGTTTTGAAAGTTTTGTTTAGCTTATTTCTAATATTTAAGAGATGCCAAGTTTCAAATTCTTCTTTTTAGTTCTTGAATTTACTAATAGTTCCAAGTTTTTTTGTTTGTTTGTTTATTTCTAACAATTATGAAGTGCAAAATTTTGAATCCGTTGCAAATCAAGCTATAATGATAAAAGTTAAGCATCACTATTTTCAATAAGTATGTTACAATATTTCTGTATGAATGTATATCCTTCTATAAGAATACGTGTATATAGTTGCAAAATCAATAGCAATCATTTACAACATTCATTTATAAAGGGAATTAAGTGAAAATAATATATTTTCTACTATATGCCATAAATTAAAGAAAACAGTTGGTTTTTGACGGTTTTTATTGGTAAAAACACGGTTTTTACCACTGTCATATCAAAAACCAGTTTTTGACGGCAAAAACCCAGCTCTGATACATACCTAATCCATAATAACTATTCTTAGTAACTTAAAAGACATATCCTCTAAAATGTAATAAGAAAACATGTTGACATCATGAATGTTTCAGATGCCTGATCAGTAATAATTTAAATCTTATAAAAATGCAAAAAAATACTCCCTATGTTAGAGTTAAAGAAATTGATTTTAAATTAATAAAGAAGCAAATCAAACCTAAACTGACTGCCAAAATAAAAACAGCAAATATATTGAAGGAAGAAACATTTAACATTAAAAGAATTTAAAAAATATAGATTTCTGTATTATTTTTAACATTTTAATCTTTCAACCTTAAAAATTAAAATTCTATCAAAATTTTACATGTCAGTATGTATTATAAAAAATATCAATGGTTAACAATAAGTATAAAATAGATAGTATAACTTGCTGTTTAAAGAGTTTCAAATGATTTAACTGAATGATGAAAAAAGTTTACTCTTAGATTTGCATTAAATTACTTTTGAATCAATAAACCTTTTTAATCATTTGAAGCAATAAGCAAAAAATAAAAATAGTTCAACAAAGTTTACTTATTTACTTACTTTTACTCTCTCAAGCCAGTAAACAGTATAGCCTATCTTAAACAAATTCGGTCTAACTAGCCTATTTTCAAGATTATTGAATTTAAATCATAAAAAACACTATGTTCATTCAGATAAGCATATTTTGTAATTAAATTAATATTTATCAATAATAATTAAGCTAATATTTAGTGTACCTACTGAACCATGAAGGTATAACTTTATAAATAACAAATTCAACAGCACATTACACTGTACACTTCTAAACACAAGTTAAATAAAGACTAGCTATATATTGCAATAACACTGCTTCATTACATTAACATTTGTTCAGCAAATTAAAATGAAACAAAAGAATATATCAAAAACAATATTTAAATATTGAAAAACTTAAGTAAGAGTTTGAAAATACTATTTAAAAAATAAAATATCTGTAGAGAAGTAAATTCAGAGTAAAATTTCAAATAAAATTTCAATCACTATTATAATCAATTAAATAAAATGTAAAACATAATTTGGGAGCCAGTTTGCCAAGGTGTATAGAAATTTTTAACCGACGTCTATATTTTTTGTACTTTTAAATCATTACTTATGTGCAGGCTCTTTAAAAAATAGTCACATGCCAAAAAAATAAAAAAAATTTAACTTTTGCCTAATCCTATCCTATCCAAAAAATCCTACTTACCTTACATGTACCATGACCATTGCAAGGCTCCTCTGCGCCACCGGGACAAGGAAAACAATTAGGCCCATAAGTGTTATTAGGACAGCAAACTATAAAAAAAATATTCTAAATAAGAATAAAGACACTTAGTCAAGACATAGCTCTAAGATTAGATTTCTTACTGATGCAACAAACATGAAAGTTATCAGCACACCTTGAATTATTTGGAGGAACTTCGAGAAATTACACTATTTGCAACAATAGATTTTAATTTTTATTTATACAGTAAATCAATTTCAAAACTAGGAAGTAGTAGTGGTATATGATGTCTGCCCATGTTGATTGAAAGGACTGTTTGCTTTTCTTGTTATTTAATGCTCTATTATGCATTAAGGCATTTCTCCTTAACTTACTGATTGATAGCATAACAGCTAAAAGATAACTAAACTCAACAGATAATTCAGTTTCAGTTCTGATTTTATAGCAATGTATTTATACTCTTCTATATTTTTGAATTTGAAATTGATAATGCATAATGATTAAGTTTAAGTAGTAGTGTTATTATTCCTCACTAGAGACCACACTCTTTTATTCACAAGATTTAATATCCTCTTTTACAATTAATAACAGTATCTGCATTCCAGCATCTAATCTTTTTTGTAAAAAATAAAAATATTAAATATGCTAATTTTGTATAACTTCTCCTGGCTTATTTATTTCTACATTATGAGGTAATTTTTTGTGCACCTTCAAACGGGGTTACTTGAGGCAATTTCAAACTTCTAGTAAATGTGCTGAGTACTTTTCTATCAGGCAGAGAGAGAAAAAATTTCTAGACTTTTTTCTGACCTAAAAGAATTAATATATGATACCTAATTAGATTTACATTGCTTTCTATTTCAGTAGAAATTCAAAAACATGGTGGGAAAAGTTACCTCTTCTTAGCTGGGGTAAGTTGAGCAAAAACACACTTGAGAATAGTAAGAAAATATGTATTTATTATTATTTTTATAAGTCATATCTGTACTAAGTACTTGTTAAAATAATTAGATTTATGCAATAAAATTTTAGTAAAAAAAAATTTATAAGCAGAAATAATTCTAAAAAAGCATAAATGTTGGTACATAATGTAACTCAGGCTATTTGAAAAAATTTCGAAAAATAATCAAAAATAAATTTGCCCTATTATTTCTATGGAGATGGAGTTTTGAAACTATCATTGATCAGAGAAATACAGGATTTGTTCACTTTTTCAAGCGACGTGGACGATTTCTCTTGGTTTTTGGTTCTCGAGCAATGCTTCAAAGATTTTTTCCAACAGATTTTATGACAGGGTTGGGTTTTTGACGTCAAAAAGTGGTTTTTGACATGAGAANATTTCTGAAGGTATATTAGTAAGTAAGTACTTTTTTCTATTTATAAAGTCAGGGATCTTTCATAATTTTTTATATTCCGCTCCACTTCCATCATTGTTTTTTATCAACATATATCAACATCTTCCTCACTATTCAAATCTATGTTGCATACCAGTCATTGACACTCTGTGAAAGTAAACCCCAATTTTCCTATGGATGATGGGATAACATTACCCAATTAAAAATTTTATGAAAATTAAGGCACAACAATTCCACAATCATATTCCCCCAATGGTTATTATACGTAACACAAGTATAAATAATGATGTTAAAAATTTACCAGCTATTGCAGAGCTTCACATATCAACGTTGCAAAGGTATTCAAATTGCTTTCTCAACAGTCACTTAATAAATTTATTATTTTCCCGCTGATATACAATCACTAAATGGAAACATTTCTGCCGAAATCAGCAGTCCTGATTTTTGTACAGAGCTCTTAAATCCCAATGAGTAACTGCTTCTTGCAATTCAGATTTATTTTTAGAGAATGGCCAACAATTAAAGGTAACCCCAATTAGTAACCCCAATAGTTTCACTGATAGCTGATACTAATGTCTTACATCGTAATGCATTTTTAATTTCCTGCTGCTTATAACTGTAGGTTAATTTATAGTTGGTTTAATAAAGTTGTTTAATTTGACTTTAACTTATTCTGAACATCAAAAGTAACATTTATTGCAATAAAAACTGTTCAGAACAAAAATAAAATAAGCTAATAGATAGATAATAGGAATAGAAAAAGCTAATAAATGAAATAAATAGGAATATCAGAAACATTTTGAAGTTCAGCTTACTTTTAATGTGATTAATGCATAAAAAAGAAAACAAATCTGAGTGCTCCCTAATTTTAACATTGAAGAACCACTCTTCTAACTCTGCTTCATACAATTCAGCAAGATTATAACACTATAAAGTGGGATAAAAAAATTTTACAGCATAAACACATAAAAATGCAAAACAATAATCAAGACAAAAAGAAACAGAACCATTGATAAGTAATGTATTAATCCTTAAATGGATATGTGAAGACATATTTATTTTGCACATATGCAACCCATGATGCTTTTATTTTTTCTGAATGAGCAATTCTTTTGATATATCCCTTCATAAAATCATCTAGCTAAAAATAATGGTCATAAATGGTACCATTAGTTTAATAATTTTACTTACAGTAAATTATTAAATAAAGTACTAAATTAATACAAAATAAAATGATTATGAAATTGTAAATTAATGTTTTTCTTCTGTAAGTATTCTGATTTCCACAAAATATAAGAACTGTATGATTCAAAAAAGATCTAAGTACTTAAAGTATAGTATATTAAACATCCATTGATTTTAGATGAGATTTGAGAGAATTTGATTTCTTATTTGTGAACTTAATAACTGCATGGGCTTCGATCATCAGCAATTGTTGAATAGCTATAAAAGCAACATTGTCTTGTTTTGAATCTACATTATTTGTTGATATTTTTTGTAAAATACCCCAAAATCACACCTTTTTGAAAATATTATATATATATATGACATTCCCATCCATTTTATTTCAACTTTTAATTGTTACTTTAATGATTTTCATCTGAGAGTCTGGATCTTCAAAGTTTTCCTTAGCTTAAAAAAAAATAGTTGAATTTATATTATAAAGAATATATATTTTGTAAATAAAATGAAGATATGCAAATAAAGTGATAAATAAGTTTCATATTTATATCTTCTCAAAATGAACTTTTAAATAAAGTGTTGAGAATGTATTTATTTTCAATTAATATTAACAGAACATTTAAAAAAGTTAAGAAGTTAAAAATGAGAAGCTACATGCTGTTTTTTTTAAAAAAAATTTAACAATAACAAATATTACTGATTATATGAATATTTAACTGAAGAGTAAGAAAAGGAACATTATTTTTTTATGTAAAAAAACTATTATAATTAATAATTAATTGCTGTACCATTTTAAAGAGAACCGTAGTATGATCAATTTTAAAAATACAAAAAGAATTATTTTATGAAAGTGTTATATTATCTGTTATATTTGTTATAATGTTATTTGCATTATTTTTAAACATTTAACTTGCATAAAAATAATGTAAGATTTTTGTACACATGTTTTAAAATACAGAGGTAAATAACTTACACTACATATCATAGTAGTGCATTAGTTTTCAATTTCTCATGAAAAAGAATTTAATGTTACATCTGATGTTAATCCTGCAAGAAAACTTCTAAGTCAAATGCTGAAATATTTGTTGGTAAACAATTTAAGTTTGTATATTAACAATAATACAATATTACAGCTCTGAATATTATAGTTTCCTAATATAATAGCCACATAAACATTGAACTACATGAAGAATAAAATTAACATTCTGAAAACTTAATAAGTATTAAAAGAACAAATGCTGAAATATTCAAATTCAATTGTAATGATTTTATATAAATTAATGTATGAGAAGTTTAACGAAAATTATTATTTTGCTTTAATTATAGCACAGCCCTCAATGTATTTTTAAAATCCTAACCAAAAAGGAAAACAAAAAATTTACCGTAATTTCGCGCGTATAGTCCGCGGACTATCTGTGTTTAAAATGCGAATTTTTGAAGCTGCGGATAATACACTGGTTGTTCACGGTTCAAATTGTTGAACACGCAGTCATGAACTGCCAATGATCAAATATAAACAACAGCGCAAGACCTTTCTTGGAATCACTTTCTGGAGACCACTATCGACAAGAGAACTAAGTCTTTCTTTCCCTTCTGCCATATGAACAGCTATTGAGTGTAGGAAATGAGCGTGGAGTGGAGAAGCATAAATCAGAAAGGAATGAATGAAAGAAATCAGGGTGGGGCCAGTGATATCGTCAACTGTAAAACAAACACTCCCCTCCCCTGCTTTTTTCAGGAAATATGTCTCTTCTACTTGTCATGAATGCCTCTCTCCACTCCCCTTTTTTCTTCAGCTGCTTGTTAAAAACATGCGAATGTTTGATGAATAAAGGGTGCAGATGAGCTTGGAATAACCTTGAATAATCTTACAATTAAAATGTTCCAGAAGAATTTCAAACTTTCAACTGAAGGTCAGTGAAGAGGGGAAAAAGCTAAGTGTGTGAGAATTTTAGACAGGGGATAAAAGAAAGACCGTCCTAGGCGGAGTTATTTAAAAAAAAAAAACCTGATTCGAGAAACAAAAATAGGGGGAGGAATTGCTAAAAATAGAAACTTGTTTTAAATGCTTGGGAGAGCACTTTTTAATTTTTTTTTTTCATTGCTCATATTTCTGTCTGATTTCCATCATCTTCCTCAGCTTATTATTATTTTTTTAAATCGTTTTATCTCCAATTCTGATGCGTTTTTGTTTTATTAATATTTTTCTTTTGATAATATTTTTGTTTAGTTTATACTATTTTCGTTTTGTTTTAACATACTCACATTTCATTACCACTTATCACGAGGATAGCACGTTGCACAGTATTTTGTCTTTCATCTGCGATAACGTTGACTTTGAAGGTTTTCGTTAATGTAGTAGAATGTGTGATTAATTAAAATATGATTAATTAGTAAGCACTGTTTTTTATTTGTATTTAGCGTTTTACTTCTGAAGGTATATTAGAAAGTAAGTACTTTTTTTCCATTTATACTTAGTTCTTTGTTTCTAAAATACATGAAAATTTTCCGTATTAAAATAACTTAATTTCGGACGTATAGTCCGCGGACTGTCTGACGATTTGTGAAATTTTTTTAACATAAAATCGGGTCTGCGGACTATACGTGCGAAATTACGGTACATACCTATTTGCATACTTTTTTGTTTTTATTTTTTATTCATATTCTTAAAATACTTATTAAGGATGGTTTTTAGAAGATTTCCTGCAACTAAATTTTAACTCTCTGCCTTTCATATTTTGACGTTTATTTTGTAAATTATTTTTATGTCATGTTTCACTTACAATCATATAATTATGTTATGTTTCGTTTACAGTTCTGTAACTTCTTATCCTAAAATGGCAGATCTAAACAAAAAGTTTAAAGCATTAAAATTATATTTTCAAACATATATTTCAATTTATTTTAACACACAACAACATTACTTTCTTTATGTTAAAACTTTAAGATTTTAGATCTTAGATTGATTTTAATAGAAGATAAATAATCTTTCCAACCAACCAGATTACTTATTCAAAGAAAGAAATTTTCAGTGTCAATATTTTTTTAATGAATTATGTCCTTTGAATTGGATTATGTGAAAGTAAACTATTATATTTTGCCAGAAAAGTAGAAAGAAAACTAAATTATACTTTTTCTAGAAACTTTATTAAATGTCTTTGTAGTCTTAAGAAATATATAATATTATAAATTTTGCTCCAAACAAGCTATAAATTTTCTTACATGAACTTTCATTTTAGAATTACAAATGCAAGAGACAATATTCTCCCTTTAGATATAGTTCTTCTCTTCGCATTTTTTTAAAATATTGTGGTGCTTACAAACATACTAAAATCTTTTTTACTTATTTCACTTTGTATGTGCACTTTAAAGATCAAAGTTTTCCAGAATTGTCATTAGTTCAAATGAATTAAAATAAAAAATAAATTTTTATGTATGAAGATTTGAAAAATCAGAGGCACAACAAAAAAGGTATGTCAATGATGTATAAGTTAGAAATTAAGATAAAAACATTACTATGAAGTTATATGACTAGACAATTGACAGCAAAATTTATAATCTTATATACTTCTTAAGACTACAAAGACATTTAATATAGTTTTTAGAAAAGTATAATTTAGTTTTCTCTCTACTTTTCTGGCAAAATATGAGTTTACTTTCATATTACCCAATTCAAAGGACATAATTCATTAAAAAAAATATTGATAATGAAAATTTCTTTGAATAAGTAATCAGGTTGGTTGGAAAGATTATTTGTCTTCTATTAAAATCAATCTAAGATCTAAAATCTTAAATTTTTAATGGAAACAAAGCAATTTTTTTGTTGTTGTTTGTTTTAAAAAACATCAAAAATATGAAATATATGTCTGAAAATATAATTTTAATGTTTTAAACTTTTTGTTTAATCCGCCATTTACGGATAAGAAGTCATAGGACTGTTAAAGAAACATAACATAATTATATGACTGTAAATAAAACATGACATAAAAATAATTTACAAAATAAACGTAAAAATATTAAAGGCAGAGAGTTAAAATTTAGTTGATATCCAGGAAATCTTCCAAAAACCACCCTTAATTAGTATTTTAAGAACATTAATAAAAAATTAAAACAAAAAAGTATGCAAATAGGTCACAAATCAATATTTAAAGCAAAGAAAAAAATTTAAACACTATTGAAATGTAACAAATCACTATACAGGAAGCAGGTGTAATAGACAAGACAAGCTGGATTGAGGGAGGAAATAGGGAGGAGTAAAAAGATAATTATTAAAACATCATTAAGTTTCAACCTCCAATTAAACTTATATATCTGCCTTCCTGCACTGTGCTTCATCCGATTTCAATAAAGCTTTTGTTTTTTCTTCACTTAAATATTGATTTGTAGCTATCCAATGAGCATATTTTTTGTTTTCCTTTTTGGTTAGGATTTTGAAAATACATATTGAGGGCTGTGATATAATTAAAGCAAAATAATAATTTTTTTTAACTTCTCATACATCAATTTATATAAAATCATTACAATTGAATTCGAATATTTTAGTATTTGCTCTTTTAATACTTATTATTAAGTTTTCAGAATGTATTCAGAGCTGTAATATTGTGTACTGTTAATAAGCAAACTTAAATTGTTTACCAATAAATATTTCAGCATTTGAGTCAGATATTTTTCTGCAGGTTAAACATGTATTTGTCGAACATGTGAGTTATAGGGAAGATAATGATTTAAAACAGATTTTCTCATATTAACACATACATACGGATATAAAAAACACATACGTAAAAAAACATACATAAAAAAAATTCAGAAGAAACAAAGAAGATTATAAAACTATTTATTATAAACTAATTATATTTATTACTTTTTACCCTATAAAACGTAACAAAAAGAAATACCTGATCAATTCCAGATTTCAGATCAGAACATAACTTTTCTTGAATTTCAATAAAGCGAAGTTCACTGAAAATATTCATTTCAATTTAATTTTAAGCATTATCTTATGGATAAAAATAAGATGCAAACAAAAAAAACTATCTTTAAATAATACTGAAAAAAATGAGACATAAAGATGAAGAAATAGTAGCATATTTTATCAACTTCCATTATTATTATTTTATTTTCTAAATTAAAATGGAAAAGGTTTTACTGCAATTATTTTTGGCTTGATATGCTTAAATTTTTTCTCCAGAAAAATCATAGCATTATATATTAGCAAATCTAAATCAATGCAGTATATGAATTAAACTTATTATATTAAAATGAAGAAAAAAAATTGTTTAAATTGTGCAAGATGTAAAGCAAATTTATTAGAAAGAAGCAAATATAAAAACAGAATTTTTTGTTATTTACAACTACAGCATTTAATATTTGTAATTATGCATGTTTCAGGATATATAATATCTTTGCATAAATAATGATTAAATAATCAACGTTAGTATTTTAATATAGAGTATTTATTTTTCAGTGTTTTAATAATAAAAATTCTTCAAAACTTTACTATTTTTTGTAACATTATATTATGGCAATAAAGTTTCATAAAATTATAATTTTTGCCATTTAATATTTTTTAAAGATAGTTTAAAATTTTTCAATTTACAACATTATAGGTTGTAAAATATTATTTCACGAATTTCGAAGGGAAGTTTCAATTTAACAGGATATATGTATGTAAATAAACATGTCCAATAAACTAAATAATTTAAAAAATAATCACAGTGTTGACACTTGCTCAATTGATAAAATTCCCTGGTAGCAAAAGGATATGATCTAATATTAGAAAGATGCAATATAATACTGCCGTGCTAGAAAACGCAACACTCTTGAATCCTATCTTCTAATATTAGAACTAATATTATATAAAATTAAACAGTATTCAATCTAACATTCGAACTTTCAAAATTATCATCTATTTCATTACTTTTGGTCCAGCGCCACATTTTTTCGAAATGTTATCCCATATTATTAATAAATAAACATTTATTTATGAAAGAAAACGATAAATTAAATATCACTTAAAATATCATTTTCAGCCAATGCAATTTTATGGCAGGAAGCGTAAAGATAATATTATTGGTAGTTTGCGAACGATTGAACTCGAAAAACTTTTTCAAGTGTTTATGTTGAGTTGTAACTCCTTCTGTTTGTTTACAAGATGACCTCGCCATCTTGTTTTCGCTCCTTTCGTTTCAACTATTTAAGGTATTTATAATTTAGTAGCTTTTTGTAAACTTTATAAATTTCAATGATAGTTACATGATAAAGTAGTATCGTAGGTAAAGTTTTTTCCTTGAGTTAAAAATCAGTTAGAAAAGTAATTTAAAGCACGATGTGTTTGAGATTGTAGATGTTGTAGTTTACTATTATTATTGTTCACTCGTAGAAGTTGACTTCTTTGCTGAAACGTATTGTCTAGCTGTAAGTAATAAGTACTGTTTTTCTGCAAAAATGAAAATGACAAAAGTAATTGTCTGTAAACAAATTAGACGTGTTAAATCAGAAAAAAATAAATATATATATATAGCTCAGTTAAAACCATTATATTGTAGAAAGAACGCTATGTCAAAATATTTGGGGGAAGGGGCGAATTATATTTAATATAGATTTACAACTTTGAAATATGTGAATTGTTAGAGAATTCTCCTTCTTCATGATTTTTTCAACCATGAATTGATGATTTTGAATTCTCATAGTATCTTTTTACATTGATGTTCTTTTACATTAATCAAATTTCAAAATAAGCAATGGAAAAAAATAAGCAATTGTTTATTTAACACTTTTCGACACTTTTTTTGTTGGCTTGTCACAAAGAGTTTTGCAGATTGAATTTTTTTTTTTTTTCCTTTTAAAAATAGCTTGGGGGTGTTTATGAGCTAAACTCTTTTTGTTAACCTCCTTTCCACTATGTTACTTTTTGTGTGGCTCTACCGAGATTTTTTGATGCAAGTATCGTTACCGGACTTTACTCTTTGATAAAGAATATTACAATTTTTTAAAAACATTTTCAAATTAAATAATTTAAGTTTCAAATAAATATCATTGTTTAATAATTTTTGGTTTTTTCATTGTAAAATTAATTTTCTTTTACAATTGTAGATGTAGCTCTTCATCTTCAAGAAACTGACTTAAGTCAGTTAATATTATGAATTGTGATCATTATTGTTTGAACATAGTAGTTGACTTCTCTGTTGACTTATTGTCTACCTATAAGTAATAAGTAATGTAATTAGTTCAAAATATGCTTGTAAAATAACGTTTGCTAAGTAATTCAACTGTGACAAAGTTTTTCTGCAACAATGAAAAAGACAAAAATAATTGTCTGTAAACAAATTAGCCAAGTTAAAACAATTAAAAATTAATGATCTGCTACTTTTAGCTCAGTTTAAACCATGACATTCTAGAATGTTTAACGTTCAAAACAAACAATATTGTTACCGCATTAAAATTTCATGTCTAAAATATTGTAAAAAAAAGAATTAAACATTTTTATTTAAATTTCTTGGGGATATTTCAGTATCGTGATCTGTCCCGCCAACTGCAATCGCCAAATAGATTTTAAACTTGCAATTTTTTTTTAAAAAAATATGTATATGTTTGCCCGGAGTTATGCCTTTCAAGTTTCTCCTATTCTGTATTGTTTCTTTTAGTTTAATAAATATTTATTAAATAATTATTATAATAATAATTAGTCTAAAAAATAATTATTGTTTAATAAAATTTTTAAATAAATTTCTATTAGATATAATCTGAGACTAAAAATTTAATTAAACAATAAAAAATAAAAGTTATGCATACTCACTTTTAGAGAACATTATGTAAACATACTTGGGGGGAGGAGCAAAATATAATTAAAAATATATTACAACTTTGAAATATGTGAATTGTTAAAGAATTCTCCTTCTACATGGTTTTTTCAACCATAAATTGATGATTTTGAATTCTCATGGTATCTTTTACATTGATGTACTTATACGATTTTTAAAATAAGCATTTGTTTATTTAATATACTTCAGCAATCTTTTTGTTGATTTGCCACATAGCAAGTAGTTATTTTCGGGTCTAATAAAAGAAGTTGAAAGGTTTTGCAATTTGAATTTTTTTTTTTTTTAAATATATGATAGTTTGCTTGGAAGTGCTTATGAGCTAAATTCTTTTAGTTGATATCCTTCCCACTGTGTTATTTCTTGTGTGACACTAACGAAATTTTTTTGACGCTGGTATCAATACCGGAATTTACCATTTAATTTTGTTGTAAAGGATATTACAATTTCTTAAAAACATTTTTAAATTAAATAATTAAAGTTTCAAATAAATATTCAATGTTAAATAGTTTTAAATTTGTTTTTTTTTTTTCATTGCAAAATCTAATTTATTTTCTTTTTAAATTTCAGTATAGCTTTTCATCTTCAAGGATATCTACTATCAAGACACTACAAATGGAAATAGCACATTCTGATGGAATTTTAAGTTCGATCCTTAGTGCGAATGATTCAACCAGTGTGGATATTCAGCAAGGACCACTTTAAATCTGCTGCGGCTGAAAATCCTCATGTTGATGAAAGATGTTGTAATGTTGAAGTTTGGAGAAAGAGGGAAACTTGTGTAGTTCATCCCTGTTTTTTGTGGTGCATACAATATAGACTGTTGCTGAATTTTTCATAAAGGCATTTAACGACAGCTTGGAAATATATTTTCAAGTAAATAAAGACTAATGATTGGAAGACTAAACTCAAACTGTATCAAACAGTTTAAAGCTAAGAATAAAAATTATTTTATTTAATAACAATTAAGTATTTTTAACTTTAATTTTACCAAAAGGTTGTCAACGTTAATTTTAAACAATGAAGGTAATGTATTGCATTTACAATTGGATGAAATTTATATTACAGTGTGTTTTTTTAAAAAAATAAAAGTATTATGTTGTGAAATAGTTATATTTATTATGGATTTCTTTTTTCTTAATTACTGTAGCGTGTAATTTTTTTACAACTTCGTCAACAACAACAATCTTCACCATTTTAAAAAAATCTTATTTGTCAGGCATAATTTTTGCATTGCTAAAATGTTATAAAATATGAAGTTAAAAAATATTTTTAGTCGATAGTGCTTAAGTATCACGAAAACAGTTGAATATTTAAAATTTGGTTCTTTTTAATCTTTCAATATGATATCGGAAGCAATTTTTTTTTAATGCTGATTTTAAAGTATAACTCAAACTCTTGAGGATTTTCATTATCAATATTGTGTTTATTATTTTAATTTTGGAAATTTTCACATAATAATTCATTTGAAATTTGAGACAAAAATTTATGCTTTTTAATTTTTATCAGGTTTAAAATCATATAATTGTAAAATAATTATAATCGTAAAAAGGTCTTTTGACTGAATAACATTTATATTATGATAAAAATTCCTAATCAATTTAGAAAAGAATATTGCTTAAACTTTCATCTTAAAAGTCTTGTATACTCTTTGTGAAAAAATGTACAATTGCATCTTCTTTTTTTTTAAAAAAAGTCCCATTCAAGACGTTTGCTTATAATGTTATGTTTGTTTTCACTATGTTCATAATGCATAAACTCTTATCGAAGAAATGCAAACAATAAATTGATTGATTTTAAAGAAAAAATTTGTGATAGCAAGGTTTTAAAAGGCAACTGATGGTAGTCAAATTTGGATCAATATAAAAGCAACTTATAGCAAAAAAGTATGTTATGTTTTTCGTCTCATTCTTGTATGCAATTAAATGTTCATGCAAATTTAATTCTGATAAAATACAATATTTACTAATTTTTTTTGGTTTTGACATTTAAATGTTATCTAAACTTTAAGTAAATAAAAGTACACTGTACTTTAACTAATTATTGAATCGTTAAAAATTTCTGATTTCCCAATGTAAAATTATTTTTACATTACAAAAACTAATTGCAAGTTTTTTTAATTGAAATTCATAAAGGCTTTTTTTGTTTCCACTCCCTGAAAATATTTCTACAGGTGCCTTTAAGTTTTGTTTCAAATGTTTTGTAAGTAAAATTTCAGATTCTAAAAGGATAAAGTTACGTAAGTATTTCTATTCAATTTCAATGATAGAAGTGAAATAATTTATGGAAGTAAGTAATTTGAATATTTTTTAGTTTTCTTTATTGTCCCAGTTATTACAAAACATAACAATTTAAAAATTCGAGATATAATTTCATTTTAATATTTTTGGAAATGAATGACTTAGTTATATAGTAGGAAAAAAAGTTAAGGTAAATTTTCAACTCAATTCAAATGTAAATTTAACTTAGCAATTATGTAGTGTCGTTTTCTTAATTTACAACTTCAGAATATAAATAATAAATGATAATTGTGAAATTACAAATGGCTTAAGTTACACATTTTAAAATATATGTATCTATATATTTCAAACTAACAAATTCAATTGAGATTTTGATAAAATAAGCTCATTTAAAAAATATAAAAAAATTAAGAGTACATTTTACAATTAAAAACTTGAAAATTATTAATGATATAAAATTTGTCAAAAAACCCATATCAATAACAGTTGTAATATAGTAGTATTATTTCGTAAATAAATTTAAAATATTCAAAAAAATCAGCAGAACATATGATATACTTTGGAGTAAGAGGGAGGAAAATGGATGGTAGCAGAGTTCGCTAAAATAATTTTATTTAGTATTTCTGCATTGCTATGTAAATAATGCATGGAATGACATTATAAAACTATTGTTCTATGTTTTATTGCTTCACAGCAATACAGAAAATTAAGTAAAATTATATTGCCGAATTTTTCTACTACCATCCAAATCCTCCTCTTGCTTACTCCAAAAATAAAGAGCAAAGCAAGGTAATATCAGAAAATTACAAAATCTAATATTATATAGCATCAAAACTAATGGAAAATAACATTACGGCGAACGCTAGATAATATTAGCTTGCATAGAATCTAATATTATATAAAGCAGAGCAAACAGCGACCTCTTGTATCTTTCTAATATTAGAAGTTATGCAAGATAACGTTAGATTTTACCGATTTTCTGATGTTAGCTAATATTAGGTGCTACTTGGGTTAATTTCAAGAACAAATAATTACCTGAAAACAATATCAAAAATACATATTTTTGTAGATTATTTATGGGTGGTAAGAAAAACATATTGTCATAAAAATTGTTCAGGTATATTACATAATTTTAATATCATTTTAAATAATTTAGTTTGTTTTCAAAAATTAACTTGATGCCAACTTAGAATTATAATTAATTACTATTTTTGAAGAAGGGGAAATTATAAATTTTTGTACAGTTTGTTAAATATAAGGAATTGTCATTATTAGTATTAAAAATGTGTTTGATTATAAAAAGCATTATACTGTATAGTGTGGAAGTTAAAAAATAATTAAAAGAATATTCACAGCTAATGGCTGCATTTTTGCAAAGAAAACTATGCTAATAACAACATTTCGAAGCCTAGAATATAATACAGTTTATGGTTGAGAGGAATTTAGGTTAAAAGTTTAACTGACGAAAGTACACTAGAGTGGTCTTCCTTTCTTAAAATTCCCATTGAAGAAACGAAAAGCACTTTTTCCCATAATTTATTCACTTTTGTTACCTTTACAAGCTTTCCTGTTAAAACCATCTTTAATGCACATTTTTAAAATTCTTGTTAAAAATGATTAATATTTAATATTTAATTTTATTAATTTATTTCAAATTAATATTTAAGCAGGAAAGAAACAAAACACATTATCAAGGTCTTATGAATCATTTGTGAGGAGAGTGAGTGTACAAAAATAGCAAAATCTGGTTGATTGCCAATTTTTTTCCTCTCACATTTAAAGCTGGATATATACTTTTTTTTCCGTGTACCTGTTACTGTCTGGTTCAAAATAAACATAACTGTTTTTTTGAAAAAATGTGACTGTCCTTAAGTTCATTTCCCCTACAACTACGAGTAATTTTCTAGTCAATTTGGTTTATAACGGCAACATGTTTGAATGATTCAATTGCTTTGGAACAAACAAAAAGATTTCAGAAATATATGTGAAAGAATGCATAAGAGAGTGGCATTTCAAGACCCTCCTGGGTAGCAAATGTCTTATTATGCTTCTGCTTCACTCTCAAAAACATTTTAGTTTTCATGTAAATTTAAATATATAATTTTGGATTTGGCTATATTTGATAGGACAAACTATTTGTTGAGCTTTGCACAACAGTTTTGCTAATAGTATTTGCCTAATTTTTGGTTTGCTTTCAAAAAAAAATGCATATCTTCAAAAAGTTTAGATTTAAAAAATTTTATTAATAAGTTTTGAAAATTATGATAAATTTTTTAATATTTTTTTTAGTTAAAAAAAGAGTAAAAAAATTTCAAATTACCAAAATACCAAAGTTATGTGTTAATCTTTCTGTAACAACTTCAAACAAAAAAAAATTTTATCTTACAATGAAATAAAATATCTGTCATGTATGTATATCAAGGAACTACATGAGCCAGAGGGGACTTTAGCCCCCTCACATTTAACCTTTGAAAACGGGACTTCCGCTACACATTTTAAAACCTGTTATTCTGGTTCACTTGTTGTACCAGCCGTAAACAAATGTTAATAAATGAAAAGGCAAAGAAAGTTCCTTAAAAATTTCATAAATTCACATTTTTGGTAATTAAATTAATAATTACATAAGAATCTAAAATTTATAATTTTTTTTTATCATGGTGCTTGAATTAAGTTTATTCAATCAAGAAACTAATATTGCCTTCATTTATGAATGTCATTTTTAGACACATTTATAACTCAAAGGCAAAATTTAAAGAACTATTTTAAAGATAGATAAAATAGAACTATTTAAAGATAGATAAATCCATCATTCCTTTTTAATAATTTTTTTACATGATCATTGTTCCAGTACATGTTAGGCCTTTTAAGTATATTTAATAATTATTTTAATGATTTTTAAACATTTAATCATTTATTTTGTATATAATTTGCTATTTGAAACAGATGCATTAACTCCGGAATAAATCGTGCAGTAAAATTTTGTGTGGCACATCCGATGGCGCGGACTTTCTGGTGAAAAACTAACTTTTTAGTCAAATTTTACGAGTGTGCCGTATATCCCAGGGCTGCATATCTCTGTGAAATTACAGAATATATAAACATATATATACAAATATATCACACACATATATGTATTAAATACAGCCCAGAGCTAGTAATGCCATACCGGTGAAAAAACAACACTCTTCATTTTAACATATTGGTGAAGAGAGAGAACAGAAAAATCACACAAAAAATTTTGTGTTCTATTATTTAATTTCAGGGAAAAGTTTCGCAAATGTTCCCCATAGTTTCCCAAATCGTACAAAAAAGGGAAACACTAATCATTTTAATTCCTTCATAAAATAGGTTGAGGGATTTCTTAGGTTCTCACACTTAGTTAAGAGAAAAACTTAAAATGATAAATATTGCATTCTTTAATCTATTTTCAGAAGAGTACGTAAACTATTAATTATGTGAGCAGATTTTGTTTTGAATAAAGAATTAGACAAAGAGAATTTAGACATAGAAATCCAAATCAATTTATGGTTAATCAATTAATTAATTAATAGTAGAGGAGCAAAATAATTTTCAGCCTTTTTAGCTCCCACATTTTAAATTATTAAATGTTTAATATTGGATTTCAGCCAATCATTAGGTAAATGATGAACCTGTTATGAGAGGCCTGCATAAAAAACTTTCTTTTCACACAATAAACTAAATAAAAATTTTAAGATAGAAAAATAAGTATCATTAAAAGTTAGATGCAGATTAGATTATACCACATTATTTTAGTCACACCTGATAAATTTGGCTTCAAGTGTGACATTTAAAATATTTATAAGCTTGGCTTATACCTGTTTTCATAATTTCCTAGTTTTTCTCTCTCCCAGTCAGCATCACCTCCTTCAAAACTCATCCTTGTTGTACTTCCTACAGCCTGAATATTTCCATTTAAAAAAATAATAATTATATAAATTATTATTTTAAAATAAATAATGCATCATTATAAAACACTTTCATTTTTGGGAAATTTATAAAGAAATTAAAAATACTTTTTCAAAAATATGATTAAAAAAAAATAGTACTAATATAATTAACAAACATTGATAAAAATTACAATGTCCTATAATTACCTACATTTAGCTTCTGGTTTTTGCTACATTAGCTACATTTAGACCATGAAGCATTTAGTTTCTGTTTCAGTTTTAATAAATAGGTGCTTGAAAACACAATTTGAAAAGTTAAGACAAAAGAAAACTTGCATTATTATACAATATCAGAGCATCTACCTATATTCTACTATAAATACATTTCTAGTGTAATGAAAAAAAGGTTACTGCTTTATAATTTTGAAACTTTTGAGATAAATTAAAGATTTATTAAAAGAAATTTTAACAGTTGTATAAATTATTCCATACACAATTTGAATTCTAAAACAAATCCATGTTTGAACTTTCCAAATTATTCAATGACGCTACAATCCAGAAGTAGAGAACATATATCAGATAGATGCAAGCAATCTACCAATTGACCAGTACTGTTATCAACAGTGGCAAACTAAAACATAATAATTACTTAAATGGGTTTGTTGCCAACTTTCACATATATAAAGCTAAAATATTTTTAAAATGGCAACAATAAAAAAAAATTACAGTATATCTGATTTTATACAATAAAACGCCAAATTTATACTTTTCAGAAACTCAGCTTTTCTTGAAATAATCCTAGTTGCAACACTAAATTAATAGACAAAATTCTACATTTCAGTGAAAAATTTAGTTTTAAGATACTATTGTTACAATTTTGTGGATATAAGTGGCAGCGTTTCCAAAAGCAGCAGAGGTATTTATTCTAGGTATTAAGACAACTTAGCCGGTAGCCGCCTACTTGTTTGCAACATGAATATTTCAGGTTAAGAACCAGCGTTTATGAATTAAAACCTTGAATTTTAGTATGTGCGACGTAACTAACTGGGCGACCTATCTAGCAGGGTTTTTTTAACTACTTAAGCTTGAAAACTCTATTTTGTTGAATTGATTCACCAATATTTCATAATTACCCTTTTTCTTTTTACTTTTACTTACATCTATTTTTATATTTTAGGATAAATAATAACCTAAAGAATTAACAATGCAGGTGAAAAACAGGAGGCAAGAATGCAGCAGTAGTGCAACAAATGCTCTCCCCTTTAACCACAGAAGGTGCTGCTGAATGTCCCTCCCGCAATCATACTTGGAATAAGTCTCTTACAAAATCAAGGAAAATGTGATTCCCTCCCACGCCCTTCTTTTCTACTGCTGCAGGTGAGAAGAAAAGAAAAGTGAAAGAGAAATATGCAAGTCATTCTCTAAAATAGGGATGAGTATGATGAAATGTTTAAAAGATCTATATTAAAAGTCAAGCTTATTCATACTTTTTGCTTAAGGTCAACTTTATTATCTTTACTCTCAGAAATTTATGTTTTAGAAAACTTAAAGATGTTCCTGCAAAATGATGCAATCTGATTAGCATGTGAACAGGGTTGAAATATTATTTAACATGTGAGATTTTTACCAGTATTTTCCATGTTTCTTACAGTCTCTGGAAAAACCTGTTTTTTCCATGGTTTTTACCATCTGTAAAAAAAAATTTCCCATTTCCCAAATGTACAAAAAATGTATGTTTGTAACAAGTAAAATATTACTACCCTTCCGCTTTTGCAACAATTTCTTTTTTTTATGTTTAACTGAGCTATGTATACTAAGTGAGCAATTTATACTATGTGAGCAATGTGTACTTATTATGTTTAAGTGAGCAATGTATACTCGAAATAAAGATAAATAAAAGAAAGACATTTTTTCATTTCTAATATCAATATAGAAAAGTGAAAAAGAAACATTATTTCATTTTGTTTTCACTTACAATCTTAACCTGAAATATTTATGCTGCAAACAAGTAGGCGGCCAGCGGCTAAATTGTCTTAATCCCTAAAAAAAATATCTCTGCTGTATTTGGAAATTCTGCTGCATACTTTAAAATAATGCACCTTTATTTTTGTTGTTCACAATCTATCATGCCGCCTATTTTCCATCTTATAGCTAACTATTGAGATTAACATTCAGTGTTATCAGTGAAGTCCAAAGCCAGTGCACTTCATTTCATTGTTTCCTCGCATCTTGCGAAAGATTTTTGTAATCAACTTGCTCAAGATTTAATGCTGGTTGAAATGTAGTGTGTGGAAGAGTATACAGTACTAAGGAAAAACAATAACATTTAGCATTAAATATGCGTATTTGCTCATAATGACTTGTTTTCTTTTTTTCACCATCAGAATAATAAAAGATCTAAAATAATAGAAGGCAAATTATATTTTTTTTTATTCTTAAATATGCAGATGTCATAATTACATTAAGCTAAACTATTTAAAAGATTAATTTTTATAAAGTAGAATAAAAATTACTTTAAATTTGGTGACAAAAAAAATAATTTAAGTTTATTAGCACTCTAAATATTAAAATATGATAGGTGCTAGCATATATTTCTCTTATAGAAAAAGGTCATTCTGAAATAAAAAGTTTATTAAATTTTTGGAATAAAATTTTAGTTCATCAGTTTTGGCAAAGTTGAAAAAAATACTTCCTTAAACAGACTATAAATTATAACTTTTACGATAGTATTCAGTTTTGTAAATTATAACTTAGTTGGTTTTCCTTCATGCTCCATTTTTCTTTTAAAAGAATATTCTGCGCTAAAGTTATCTTGATTTTCTATTTGAACTATGAGGCCTATTTTTGACAATTTTTTAACATTTATAGATTTATAATTTATCTAACGTTTGTCCAAAATAAAACATTTGTGTATTNACTATTTAAATTCTTATAAAGTAGAATAAAAATTACTTTAAATTTGGTGACAAAAAAATAATTTAAGTTTATCAGCACTCTCAATATTAAAATATGATAGGTGCTATCATATATTTTTTTTTATAGAAAAAGGTCATTCTGAAATAAAAAGTTTATTAAATTTTTGGAATAAAATTTTAGTTCATCAGTTTTGATGCTCCATTTTTCTTTTTAAAAGAATATTCTGCGCTAAAGTTATCTTGATTTTGTCCTGATTTTCTATTTGAACTATGAGGCCTGTTTTTGCCATTTTTTTAACATATATAGATTTATAACTTATATAACATTTGTCCAAAATAAAACATTTGTGTATTGTTGTTGTCAGTTGTCTGGTCATATAACTTCATAGTAATGTTTTAATATTAATTTCTAACTTTTACATCATTGACATACCTTTTTTGTTGTGCCTCTGATTTTTCAAATCTTCATACATAAAAATTTATTTTTATTTTATTTCATTTGAACAAATGACAATTCTGGAAAACTTTGATTTTTAAAGTGCACATACAAAGTGAAATAAGTCAAATAATTTTTTTCCTAATCTAATTTTAGAAAAATAATGTGACAAAAGATTGGTAAGATAAATTCTTCTTTTATCACTACTGTAGATTTTTTAATGATCCAACTATTCTTTTGTAAAAAAAGAGAAAGAAAAAAAATATTAATATTGGAATTTTATAAAAAAAAATTTTATAAAATTCCAAAATTCTGCTTATTGGAGTTTTTTGGCTATTTTCTGTATATAAATGCAGCTGTATTAAAATTATAGTATACAATGAAATAATACAATAACGTAATTTATAAATATGATTTTAATTAATCATTATAGGCTTATATTGAAAATCTTATAGTTTGTCAGTTTTTAATAGTGAAAAGATTTGCCTCACCTGGTTATGTGAAAACAATTACAATTCAGAAGAGACCTTACCTTTCGAACCATTTTACAACCACAAACCGATCAACGTTTGGTAATTTTTGTGTGGGCTACTGAGTGGGGAGGCAGACGTGGATTTAAGACGGTTTTGATTCAATAATTTTAATGCAATTGTTTTTAAACATTTTTTCAAAACTTAAAACAAAATACAACTACATTCGAAGTATTGGTGATGTCTCTCAGATGACCTCCTTCCATAAAAGGTCAAACAAACCCGAGAGAAATACACCACAGTAAATAAAATTAAAATAATTTAATGAAATTTGGGCAGCCCGGTACCATTTGATTCACCAATCTGTCAGCAGACCGGGGTTGGGAACCACTGCCTTATATCATATCACTTGTCCAATGGCTTATCATTTACTAATATACATAAATATAAATATATATCATCTAACAACTCTTAATAATAGCTATAATATGGATATATATATTCCTATCAGTTATAAATAACATACCACTATATCTGTAAATAAATAAACATGGGTTAAAATAATTAAATAGGGGATAAGGGACAATTGTGGGTAATTTTGAAAAGTTATTATGAAAATTATAGAAATGCATGATTTCTGATTTACAGTAAGATTGCATATATTTATTTATCATATATTTAAATATTATTTTTATGATTTTTAACCATTCAATCACTTATTTTATTTATAATTTTTTATTTGTAACAGATGTGGTAACTCAGAAATCGTTCATGTCAGAAAATTCTGAGCAGCATATCGGATGGTGCAGCCTTTCCAATAAAAAACTTTTTTTTAAAAACTTTGCAGGAACAGCATATAATCCCAGCACAACGTATCTCCGTAAAATTGCAATAATGAAATTAAATAGCTTATAAAGTTGCTATCCAAATGAGAAAAAATAAAGTTGAAAAATGCTTTAAAAAAACATATCTAATGTTTTGAAAGAGTAATTGAGGTCTATTTTAAATATTTACCTTTTTAATTCGAGTAAAATTTAATTATCCAAAAAAAAACTTATAAAAAGTAGTAAAACTGCACTAACCTCTCATATTTTTATTTACTATTTTTTGAAGGTCATAGAGAGAAATTATTTCAAAAAAAAAATTTATAATAACATTTCTAAGATAATCTTATTTAAATCCATGAAAGCAAAGTTTTAAATAACCCAAACAAAAGTTACGTCATATTAGACATGTTGTACATTCATTTTTGAAGAAAAAAAATTCCAACAATGCTTAGAATTAAGGAAGAAGAATAAAAATCATACTTTAATGAAAGACTCTACTAGATTTCTACAAGCAGAACAAGGAGAAACAGTTTTTTGGTGAACAGACGCTTTACTTAAGCTTTCTAAACTTGATAGTGATGATATATCAGTAGCAGTGATAGAGCAATTACTGAAAATCATGATGAGTGAACACAGGCACATAATGATTTTCATCTTTACATTTATCTAAAAAGAAAAAAAAAATCATACATTATATATTTGGCTCAAGTGCAAATAGGAAAATATAGTTATATATGAACACAATCATAAATAAAAACAACAAATAAATAATTCAAAGGCTAAGTCAATAATATTAAAAGAAAAATACAAGATCCAATGAATTATTAAAACAAAATAAAATTGGTTATTGGAAAAAAATTTCAATAACTTTAAACTATTCATTTCCATGCCTAGTTCTAGTTGCAGAAACAAGAGAACATAGTAAAGTAGAAATGTGGCAAAAATCTTTTAAATATTACAAAATATTAAACAGAATGAGTGGCATCAAAAAATCATTAATTCATCTTTTGGATAATAACAAAAATATTCTTATTTCTTACAATAAACATCACAAAATGTAACAAAAAGGCACTTTTGAGCTGTCCTATATTTATATTTTGTGAGTTGCAATGACTATGCAAATGAAGAATCCTTTCAAAATTTAGAATTGCTTGTCATTCAAATGGAAATTGCCTTGTCTAATCTTCTTCATCAGAAAAAGTATGTAAATCATTAATTTTAGATTCCAATGCCATGTATTACCACTATTTTATTCATGTTTCAATTTTTATTAAAGATTCATAGCCCATTGATGCAGAACCCCAAAAAGTGGTCTATATATGGAAAATATCTATGAAAAAAGTATTGGTACATACTTGTTTATACCAAGTAGATATATCGAATACTTTAGCTTTAAAGAAGCACTTGTCTTGACTTTATATCCAAATATGAAAATTTTATTTTCTAAGAACTTTTGTTTCTGCATAATAAATTCTTATAATGAAACACTTGCAGTAGCAATTTTTACCTTCTTGAGAAAAAAAATAAACATTCTTTTCAAAGGACATGGCACAAATGGGTAATTTGTGAGTTTTTTCTGTCAGATTCAGCAATTACTGCCAATAGAATTATCTAAATTATCCATGTAAATTAAATAATGAAATTGTCACAAATTGAGTGCTGGGTTAGAAAATAATTACTCAGATATACAATTTGCATAACGTTGCACTAAAAACATCAGAATTTAGAACTATATGGATATCCATAGCAATAACAGCTGAAAAAAGATTAGAAAAACTACGAAATTTATGATGCAGGATTCTTTATATTATTTTTCTTTCTTTTTTTAATTTTATTTGTTTTTAAAATATTGCCATTTTCTTACAAATAGAGGTAAGACTAAAACTGAATAAATTAATAGCTTTTAGTTTCAATTAAAAAAAATTAAAAAATTAGCTATTAGAGAATATAAAAAGATTTAAATTTTCATTAAAATTAGCAGTATTATACAAATATAAAAGACTTTAAATCTAAAAAAGAAATTAACTATCATTAAAACTAAATGTTTAAAAAACTGTTTTAGGTACTTATTTCTATCATGTTAATCTTCACGATTAAGGAAAGAGTTCGCATTCTTATCTTTCCTTTTAATTCAGATTGCAACTTCACCAGACTTACCAACATTCTAGGAAAAAGCAAAAAAGCGGTGGTAAAGCTTAGAAAAGGATAATAAAAACGCTCTCCACTTTACCTTTATTATATAAAATTCTCAGAAGAGAAATCTATTAGTGAAATTCTGAAACAGAAACAATTACTGATCTCATGTGACAATAATCAGGGCAAACTTACCTATGAAAATAATGTTTTAGGCGAAACTAACTAGTTTTTGCATAAAATGGGGATAAAATTCCCAGCACTGTGATCTCAAAGAGCAAGAGTGTGGAAATAAATTATCTACATCCATGATTGAAACGTAGATAGTATCAATCTAGTAGTATGCAAACTTTTATTTAAAAATTGTCAGTGTTTTTTTACAAATAAGAAAGGAGAACCCTTAACATTTTGGATTTAAGGCCAATCCTTTTAAGCACACACATTTTAAAAAAGATCCCCTGCCATTTTAAAGTTAAAATTATTAATCTGGAGGAAAAAATTAAGTAGAAAAATTTTTTTTATCACATTATAAGATTTATAATACTATTTCAAACTAACACATTAAGTTCCCACTTTTGGCATCTTCGTATAACGACAAATGAGTAGTTCTCTAAGGTTTTTCATACTGTTTGTGACCCTGTGTATTGAATCATTCTACTTGAATCATTCTTTTACTCCAAAAACACTCGGAGATTATAACTTGGACGATCCATCATCCATATTTTGAATTAAAAGACTTATCAAAATTAATTAGTGTTGAATAATACTAAAATAAAAGTTTCTTCCAATGAACTTCTATTTTATAAATAATGTCACTAATATTTTTCATTCATTAGCTCTTAAATCAGGGTTGTGTTTTCAATGACAAAATACTGATTTTTTAAAATGATACGTCAAAAGCCAGTCCAAAGGTGTCAAAAACTGCCCAAATCTGATAAAAACCTAGGGCAACAAATTTCTTATTTCCTTCAATTGTCATTGGGGATATTTTATTCGATATTAGATTTATTCGATAGTAAATCATGCCCAATACTTGCATTTTATGTTACTGTAATTATGATATCTATTATTTTCATAATATATATAATTTATAGAAAATATAGACAGAAGTATTGAAACTATTAATTGGTTTTTTTAAAAAAATATGGCGCTTTTAATACTTTAAGATCAATATTATTTGCTATACTATAACTATTTAGTTAATAATACAGTTAATAAATATGAGTAGCTAATTATTATCAATCTAAATAATGATTTTAATTCTTTCATGGCACAATTTAGGCAGAATTGTTAGATTAAGTAAAATTAAAGTGGCAGTCAATAATTCTCTGATCTTAACTTATTAATTTTTTTTATTCTTTATATTTGTTATTACTTGAAATTGCAGGGGAGCAGAATATATCTAATGGTGTGAACAAGGTTTTGAGGGAAATTCAGGCAGTCACAGGAAAATTTTCGGTTCAAAAAATTACCTACAAAATTTTTTATTGTAAAAAAAATGTGTCGCTTTGCAAAATTTTCCTTTATTAAAAAAATATTAAATGTCAGTCAATTTTCGCAATTATTAGATTGAATTCTTTAAGTTTATGAGTGAAACCTTTAATTTAATAAATTATTACTATTCTGATGTATTTTGATTTTCATTATTTTTAACACACAGGATCTGATCGTTTATACAAGAACAGAGTAAAATCAAATAAATTTTTTTAATTATGTAAACTTTACTTTTTAAATATATTTTTTAAAAGTTATAGTACTAAAAAAAAAAAACATAATAATTTTTGAGAAAATTTCGGTTCCAAAAAAAATTAGTGAGAAAATATTAGAAATATGAGGAAATATTAGGGTCTGTAAATTTTCTGCAAACGCCAAAACAAAACAAACTACTCTGCATAACTTTCGATCCTATGATAGGATTTTCACGTTCTAGGACTCATTCTTAAAGGCTCGAGGGGGTGACCTCAATTATGCTCATTAATAAGAGCAGGCAATATTTTAAATTACGAAGTCAGACTCATAAATGTACTCTCTCTGAATAAACATACCTTGTTTTCAACGGACTCCGATTTCTGCGCCCCAAAATGTAGGGGGTAGAAGCAATCTGCAATATATGATCCCAATAGTTTAGTCAGGAGAGCACTCCAAAGTTTGGACCCCTTAATGTTAATTCTACTTTTTGCGTATTTCGATGTCTCAAAAACTTTTTAAGTGAATAAAAAAGTTTTTCAAACAATAATAAAATTCCCCTTTATCCAAAGATAAATCCAATGCAAAAAATAACTTTTATTAAATATTCATTATTATTTTATTAAAGAATGGATAAAAAAAGTTTTGAATTGTAAGGTAAATGATTTTTTGAATCATTTTGAAAAATGTAATTTTACAGAGAAATATGCAAAAAGTAAAATCAACATTAAGGGGTTCAAACTTTGGAGAGCTCTCCTGATCAACTATTCAGACCATATTTCCTGGATTGCGGATGTCACCAATATTTTGGGGGTCAAAAATCTGAATCTGTCAAAAAATGGTATGTTAATTCAGAGAAAATACATTTTTGTGGCTGATTTTTCAACATGAAATACCGCCTGCACTTATTACTTAGCCTATTTGAGATCACTCTCTCAAGAAATTAAGTTTAAGTTCTAGAATATAAAGGGTGGTCTGGCTTGTTTTTGTTTTTTTTTTGTACACTGTACATGAATTTTTCTAATAGATTGTGACTATAAAATATTCCCTGATAAGTAAACTAATTACAATATTATGTTTAAATGAGTTAATTTTTCCAATCAATTTAAGAATTTAATTTTTACTATCAAAATCAAGTACACTTATTCGAACAAATTTCCTAATTACACATTATTTTATTATATTACAATAGTTTCGTATGTCAACATTCAAATCAGTCCTAATACATAGAAAATCTGATCATTAGATCAAAAGTTATTCAAGGCATTCCATATTATATTAAGAAATTACTTTTTCTGAAGAGAATGTTCTGCATCTACTTCATCAAAAAAAAAAAAAAAAAAAAAAAAAAAAAAAAAAAAAAAAAAAAAAAAAAAAAATAGGAATCAAGTTAAAAATTACTGTATGAAATTTTTTCATTATTTGTACTCAATCCGTACCTTTTGTATTTTATCAAAGTAAATTGATGAACAATTTATGCATTGCATAATAAATTAATTTTCTTGATGAAAAATAACTATCAGTTTAAAGAATTTTTTTAACTTATTACAGTAATAAAATTGAAAATATTTTTGTCTTCAACATTCCTAAATATTAAAACTAAGATTATCAATTTTAAATCCATGATTTCCTGGTTAAGCCACTGCCTCTAGGAAGTGCAACCTGAACGAAAATCAAAAATCTTGCTTCCTACAATCAATGCTACTTTGGTTTCAGAAATCAATTAAGATAGCAACTCATTAGTATTAAAACTATTATCATAAAAAACTAATTGGAACAGTAATCCTCAATGGCAATGAAAAGTTGACAATGAATACAAAACAGGCTATTTATTTCCTAAGAAAAATATGATCCAAAATTTTCAGTGCAGGCCAAGAAAGTTTATAATCAATATAAAGAATCAAATAAAGTAAAAAATATTAAATCGATTCTAATAAAATTTATTGGGCACTTATTTTGATCAGACGATAACAATCCCCACTAAGCAATTAACCATCATTAAGCAAGGAAGCATTAGAAAACATGACCTCCACTCAAGTGTTTTTTTTTATATATATTATATAAAAATGTCATAATGTCAATGTCATAATAGGCATTGAACTCTATTCTGATGACTATAAATATTTAACTTTGTAGCCTGGTAATTTTAAAACCAGCATAAGAAACTTCTAGATCAAGCATTAGGACAAACTAGTCTCTGTAAAGAATTTTTTGATAGAACTAAAATGCATTTGTGAAACAGGGAGAAGAAAGCCACAAAAACCTTCCACAGACAGCAAGGGGATTCTAACCCATGATCTATTTACCACTGAGGATATTTTAAGTCAGCACTGTGGTTAGTGAGAGCTGGGGAAAGAATTCGCATCAGCCAGTCACCGCTGAGATTTAAACCTAGGACACCTAATTGGGAGGATTAATATTGAAGGTAATTAATTGTAGGCAATGATGGATATAAAATTGCTGGGCAAGCCCTGGCCTGTGACGCTAAAAAGAAGCTTTACAATGTGAATTGTGGTTGAATAATTACAAAATATATCATACCTGCGTAGATAAACTACTTTTCGCACAGGATTTTGTCGTTAAATTTATCATATTTTAGGGAGCAGAATTTTGTTCTGTTACTATATATTGCTACTTTTTTGTAACTTTGTTAACAAAATATAGGGGAATTATTTCTGGAGAGAAGGAAAGATTATCTAGCGAAAAACCAAGTCAATTTCTTCCACGTACAGTACAGTTTATGTACAATATGTTGAAAGTTTTAAAGGTTTTTCTTCTTATCCCAGAAAAAAAAGCCAAAAATAAACAATAATTTTTAAGACTTTTCACAAAATTAAAATATTAAACATTTTGTCTGGAAACCGGATTATTTGATAATTTAAAAGACAAATTATAGACTATTAACTTAAGTTTACGTCACGTCTACCGGTTCAAAGTATCAATATTTAGATTTGAGGAAGGTAGACCATTTATACGAGTTTCAATAGAAGCAAAAGTTTTAACTTATAGCTTAGCAAGTCAAAGCAATTAAGAAGCATTTTCACTGCATGCAATCGCATGGGTATCACGTACTTGCGATACACATATGAGCGAGCAGTTCTTTTCTCACGGCGTGTGGTTGACGCATTTCGAAACACCGTCGAAATTATGGAAAACCTGATGATTAAGTTTGACGAGGAAAAATATTTTCATTTATCAGATCCTCATACTCAATCTCTTTTGATGGAAATGCTGTGGGAATGGCCATTTACTAGCTTTTTATAAACAATAGCAAACAAAAAAAATTGTGATGGCATGTCTTAGGATCAACCTCTTGCAGCCGCTGTCATGGAAACTGGGTTACTCCTTAATTTAATTGGAGGGGGGTAAAAAGTGGGGGGAAAGTTGGTTGGTTTGGTTGTTAATTTACGTCGCACTAGAGCTGCACAATGGGCTATTGGCGACGGTCTGGGAAACATTCCAGAGGATGATCCGAAGACATGCCATCACAATTTTGATCCTCTGCGGAGGGGATGGCACCCCCGCTTCGGTAGCCCGACGACCTGCGCGCGAAGACGAGCACTTCACGGTAGCACAGTTTAACGAGGACCAATACCGCACACCCTCGGTCCCTACGCAGACTGATCCAAGTGGTCACCCACTCGCACACTGACCGTAGCCAGTGATGCTTGGCTTCGGTGATCTGCTGGGAACCGTGTCTTAACGATCAGTCCACTGCGGGATATTGGCTTTAAAGAAAACAAAGCGCAGTTTTTTTTGTCTTGTTTTTAAACCAAGAATCTTATTAAAAACAAAATACAGAAAAGAACGACATTTTTTTAGAGCGTTCCTAATAATAATTGATTTGAGATACTAATTATAAGCTGATTTCTTATTATGAGTTTTAAAACAGATATTCTTATAAATATTATATTAATTAAACGAAACTAATTTTAAGCAAAACAAAATTATATTTAATTTTCTTTTAATTAAATCTAAGTAAAAAAAAAATACATAGATGCTCACAAATACTTTACTTTAGATATCTATTTTTGTGTGCAATCCTTTTTTTTTTATAGATTTATGTATATTAATTTATCCCACATTGGTGTTTAGTGGGGGAAGGAAAAGACAATACAGGCATGAAATCATTGATCATGAAAAAGATCATTATGTTTTATAATATTTACCGTTCATTTTTTTAATTATAAAAATCATATTATTTTCTGATAACTTTTTTTTTATTATGAAAGTAAGAAAGTAATTTTTTTCTGAAATATATTTGCTTCTATGAAACAAAAGAGCTTACCTAAAAAACCTCTCTATAAGAGAAGACTGCCTTTTTCTTTTCTCGAAGGAAAATCCCAAATCCGATATAAAGCTTAATTAGTAGCTACAAAAACAAACTAACAACGGATAACCAACAAAAAAAGCTAACGTTTAGTAATTAACAAAACAAAAAAACAATCCAACAAGGAATCACAAAAAATTAACAACTATAGTAAGGAAATAACAATTAAAAGAAAAAAGTATACTTTCTGCTTATTTTAATGAAGTAATATATTTCAGAAATATATGGAATATGAAATTTAAATAGACCTTTCATATTAGATCATTAAATATAATAGATCAATTTTGCAAGCAATAGGTTTTAACTCTAATAGGAAGATAAAATACACATTTTATTTTTTGTTTATTTACAAATATTTTTCCGATGTGTTTTAGATGTTCCTTCTCTAAAAAAAGCGATGCCATTTTGCATTCGCTTGCATATTTGCATATTTTATTCGCGATTGCAACACTCGAATACGCNATACTTTCTGCATATTTTAATGAAGTAATATATTTCAGAAATATATGGAATATGAAATTTAAATAGACCTTTCATATTAGATCATTAAATATAATAGATCAATTTTGCGAGCAATAGGTTTTAACTCTAATAGGAAGATAAAATACACATTTGATTTTCTGTTTATTTACAAATATTTTTCCGGTGTGTTTTAGATGTCCCTTCTCTAAAAAAGCGATGCCATTTTGCATTCGCTTGCATATTTGCATATTTTATTGTTTGAAGTACAATGATTCAGAAAAATATGGAATGTAAAAAAAAGTCATTTCATTCTTTTCTAGTTGCATAAGAAGGAATATTAAACATTTTTCTTTTTTAAATTAAGTAAGACACAATAAAGAAGGAACGTTACCAAGCTACACTGAAGAAATCTCCAGTGCAACTGATGAACGTGTTGTTCTACAGCAATCATTCGTCTCAAATAACTATGTCCCCTATAGGTCGTTATGTTCGCGAATTATAAACTATAAACATAATTTCGAAACAATAATTTTCTGTAATTTATAATGCGTTTAAAATAAAGCGAATAATAGCAATCGTCTACGTTAGAACCAAAATGATCGTTAATAAGATTTATAGGAGATCGTTAACAAAACTTAGATTGCAGAGATAGCCAAAGACTCAATCAGAAGCTAACTCAGTTACCCAAAATCTCAATGAAGACAGCAATGGAGGTAATGAGACTGAATGAACAATTTCCGTGTATTATTGACTGATAATATGTCCTTATAATTTGTCATGAACTTTTACAATGTGTCAAAATATTTGCTTGGGGAATAAATTTATTGCTTTTAAAGTAAAAGGATAAATTCTTACTTCATTACGTTTTCCTTTCTTTCTTTTTTTTTGTTGTCAATGTTAAATGGAGATATATGCGAAATTTCAAAAATGCACAGTTCCAGCAGTTATACCCATTTATGGATATTAAATTCCGAGTAATTTTCTAGACTACCTAAACAAAGAGGATCCAAGAATTTGGAAGTAATGATGCAGATATGTATATAATGAGAACTGAACTCTTCTTGATGTGTTTATTGGTTTATTGAAAAACATATATTTGCTGGCTTCTTGCCTCATTTAAGGCTTTAAAACCTTTGTCAATTAGAAGGATAGAAAGAGGACAGAGAAAAACAGCATGAATATTCACCCAGGTTAACTGCGGGATTCGAACTCGCTACATACATGCTACCCTTGATTTGTTTCAGGACGTTGGTTCAAACCGACTTAAAGATTTAAAAAAATTATAAATGGTTTAAGTTATCAATTTTAAGTGAATAAGGAAAAAAAGTGATTAAAAAATACGAATAAAGATGAGAATAAGAGTGATGTTAATATTCGCGATCGCAACGCTCGAATGCGCCATCTGGGGAGAAAACCGGTTCCATGTCTTTTCCCTCTCCTCCTTTTCTCAGTTGCATAGGAATGTACTGCGATATTTTGCCCTCTCTTAATATTTTTCATACTCAATTGTCAATTTTTTAAAAAATTTCCACAACGTTTTCTTTTAGAACTATATTCAATGCAGTTTTCAGTTCCATATAGTTTCCTAACTTAAAAGTTTTAAATCTCTATATGAAAATCAAGACTGAAACTAATGTACTTCCTTCTCTTATGTCTCTCCACACGCTAATGGTGAAAGCATGCGAAGTGTTTCCATAGGTATAGAGTTCTGCTCTACGCCACCTATAACCCATTTCGATCGCCAATATTCTCCTTGATTGTTGTTTAGGAAAATAAAAGTATTTCAAATTGAACTTCAGTAAAATTTCTATTTTTAGGTGAAACTTTTTGAGTTTTATATAAATATACATTTTACGGGTTATTATTATAAACGCTTAATAAAAAAACTCAGATCCCTTAGCTTATCAATACAAGTCATTAAGGAAAACGAAACTTGCGGCCGTTACACACTTTTCCAGAAAAAGCGCGATACAAATTTAACAAAACTAATCCTTCAAAATTTATTCCTGTAGTTATTTATTTGAAAAAAGTTTTCAGATAATTGTGACAGTTAGTTAAAATAAATTTTGAAACAGCTATGTAATGTAGATCATAGTTCCGCACCCAAACGGTAATTACTTTTTTTAATGGAACGAGCATTCTCTTTAAGAAAAAGTTCTCTGTTTTCGAGTAAAAATTAAATGTAGGTAGGTACTTCATTTACGTCAAACTGGACCTGAAAATGGGTTATTTTATTGGCGACGGTCTGGAAAACATCCCTGAGGATGATCCGAAGTCATGCTATCACAATTTTAATCCCCTGCGGATGCAATCTGCACGCGAAGTCAAGCGATTTAAGATAGAACACTTTAATGAGACCCGATACCGTGAATCCTATATCCCAACGATGGCTGATCAAAGTAGACACACACCCGCTTACTTACCGCAGTCAGTGACGCTTCACTTCGGAGTTTTACTGGGAACCTTATCCTTACGATCAGTCCATAGTGGAACAGAAATTAAATGAATAACTGTTTAAAAAATATTCAATACTATTTTGATTCCATCGATTTAACTGCATTGTAAACTAAATCTTGCGAAAACAAACTAGGGATGTTAAAAATAAATAGTCATGTCTTTCTATGACATCATGAAATAGCACAAAACTTCTGGTAGGGTTTGTTTGTTTTTTTCAATAAGAAGGTAGTATAGTTAATCTATGGAAAGAACTCCCCTCCCCAGGGGCGGATCTACTTAAGGGCTTTTTCGGCTGCAGCCCAGGGCCCACTGAAAACAGTAGGTGATATTTTGAATTAAAAAAAATCTAATATTAAAAAAAAACTATTATAACGTTGGCAACCCTGAGATTAATCAACCCATGCATGTACGCGTCTATCTAGAGGAACGGGGAATTCCCCGTCGCTTGTTTTTGGTCAGTGTATTTTTTCGCGTCTATTACGGGGGACTTCCAACCGCGCCGCTTAAAGCCCGACGTAATTTTTTCCCCGCACTTCTGTTCTCGTCGTCAAAGTGACAAACTTGTTTAGTTTACTAATAAATGATAACTTAAAAGTTATAAAGACCGGACCTTTCTCTTATTTCACTTATAATTGAAAGTACATAATCTGTATAAGAAAAGATTTCCTGCTCTTAGTTGATAAGTAAAAAGAATTATAAGTCATGTCTTTTTTTGTTTTTAATGTATTTTTTCAATACTAAATGAACTTTTAATCGATTTTTAATGATAATTTGTGAATTACTGCACTCATTACAAACTATTAAAATGTGACGTGAAGAACAATATTACATCTATTATCTCGTTCTCTGCTTATTACCAGAAAATTATCAAGTTCATTGTTTATTTTCAGAAAAATATCAAAGTCATATCTTACAATATGTCTGGTAGAAAATATAAAAGTGGAGCTGAGAAACGAAAATTGCAGCTAGATCGAAAAAAAGAAAGAAAGAAATGTGCAGAAATTGAAACGTTTTCCAAATTAGAACATGTTGCTGTTGTTGTTAATTTACGTCGCACTAGAGCTGCACAATGGGCTATTGGCGACGGTCTGGGAAACATCCCGGAGGATGATCCGAAGACATGCCATCACAATTTTGATCCTCTGCGGAGGGGATGGCACCCCTGCTTCGGTATTTCGACGACCTGCGTACGAAGTCGAGCACTTTACGGTAGCACAGATTAACGAGGACCAATACCGCACACCCTCGGTCCCTACGCAGACTGATCCAAGTGGTCACCCACCCGGACAGCAGCCAGTGATGCTTGACTTCGGTGATCTGCTGAGAACCGTGTCTTAACGATCAGTCCACTGCGGGACCCAAATTAGAACATAGAAACGAGAATGAAATAGCTACAAACTTATTAACAAGTGAAAAGGAAGGGATTTTATCCAAAGAGAATCTATTTAAAGGGAGCAGAAAATCGTAACACCAGGAAAAAATACAAGTGATGAAAATGTGCAAAGTCTTGACTACCAACAACCCTCTGATCCCACTGATAACTGCACTGGTGGACAAAATTAAGAGATGGAAGACATTTTCCCAAATATCTCAAAAAGTACTGAATATAAATAAACGAAATTTGGTATGGATATAGCTTATTCCATGATAACAAAGTAGGCAAAACAAAAATGATAGTGCCATTCACTGGCAAGACCTATTGCCAATAAATCCAATGTAGTCTGAACTTAAGGATAAAAGATGACAATAAAAGTGAGGCTTGTACAGTGTGTGTTGCCTCTAGTATGGTGTATGGTCACCCCTGACAGACAGACAGCATGCACAACGAGTATGCATGCTGTTAATAAGGGAGTTAAGGAGGACTTGTGGAAGACCCTCCCATTCTTCCACCAGAGCAATTTTTAACTCCAGAATGGTTCTGGGGGGAGGTTGGCGCATCGCAATAGCTCTCCCAACAGCATCCCAAGCATGTTCAATAGGATTCAGGTCAGGGGATTTGGCTGGCCAATCCATTCGTTGAATATCCTCGCTTTCCAGATACTCATCAACCACGAGAGCCCTATGTGGTCGCGCATTGTCGTCCATAAAAATGAACTCAGGACCGACTGCGCCCCTGAAAAGACGAACATAGGGCTCTAGGACCTCCTGTCTGTAACTCTGGGCAATCACGGAACCATTGTCAAACACATGGAGAGGTGTGCGGGTATCTTGCATGTGCGAAAGGATGTGCGAAAATGCTTTCCATCTCTTAATTTTGTCCACCAGTGTATATTGTTCTCCATATTGTAACTATATTATAACTATATTGGTGATCAGCAAGAGGACGGTAATACCGAGGCGGAAAAAAATTTAGAGAATATTAGTTTGAGTTCGAGAAATATGTTGACGTGGGCTTGTGGCCAGAATTGCTAAATAATGATTTCATTAATGACATCCTCTCAAATGAAATGACTGACTTTCAAAATAAAGATCCGAAAAATATATATTCAGCTTCAATAAAGAACAAAACAGAACATTTTCAAATAGGTATTTCATTAAGAAAATGAAAAATGCTCAATCACTGGAAAGATCTTGGCTATGTTATTCAAACAGGGTTGGCGCTGTTTTTTGTTTGACTTGCATACTTTTTTCTTAAATCCCTTCTCAATACGCAACCGGATTTTCTGATTGGAAACACATAGGAACTTGTTTAGAAAATCATGAAAATTCTAATGAACATAAGAAATCAATGTTAGTGTTGTTGACACGAAAAGAAAATAGGTCTGTTTTAGACATGCAGCTTCAGAAGCAATTACAAAAAGAAACAGAATATTATCACAATGTCCTAAAACGGGCTATTGCTGTGGTCAAATTTTTAAGTATAAGGGGCTTACCATTTAGAGTTTCCGAGGAAGTATTTGGTTCTCCACATAATGGAAATTTTATGGGTGCTCTGGAGCTGTTGGCAGAGTTCGATCCATTCATTCGTGAACACATTGAACAACGAGAGCTGCGACCAAAACCGATAATATCGTACTCATCAAACACAGTATATGAGGAAATAATTGAGATTATGGGCCGACAGATAATTAAACAAATTATAACTCACATAAATAACGACGACACAAAGTACTATTCAATTGTGATGGATTCTACTCCAGATCTATCTCACAATGATCAACTTGCTATTGTATTACGATACTGTTTTCGGAGAAAAGGGCATGAAATATGTGTATCCTTCATTAAAATTAGTAGTCATACTGACTTACATTTATTTAATATTCTACAAGACTTTTTAGAAACAAATGGACTACTACTGGATAATTGTAGGGGACAATCTTATGACAATGCTGCTAATATTACGGGTCAGTACAATGGTGTACAAGCACTACTAAAACAAAAAAATAAATCCGCGGATTATGTGCCATGTGCTGCGCATTCCCTTAACCTAGTTGGTGAAGAATCTGTTAAGGTTGCAACCGAAATTGTGAACTTTTTTGAAGTAGTGCAAAAAATATACGTTTTATTTTCTACTTCGACCTATAGGTGGGAATTGTTAAATCGTGAAACAAAACTCAAATTTACGTTAAAAAGTTTAAGCCAGGCCAGATGGTCTTGTCACTATGATGCTGTCAAAGCTGTGAAAAATAATTATGATGACATTATGAAAATTTTCGAAAGTTTCAGCGAAAATGAGGGTGAGAAAATTGATTTCCGGAAAGAGGCACGAAATTTATTCAATAAAGTGACGAAACTCGATACTGCAATTTTGATTATTTTTTGGGAAGAAATTTTGGGGAGATTTAATTTTGTTAATAAAAAAAATACAGAGCCCTGGTTTAGATATTTGTGAAGGCAACAAGTTAATTGTGCCATTAAAAGACTTCGTACACAACATAAGGCACCAATCAGATCAGAAGCTAAAGGAATACGAAGAGAAAGCTAAAAAATTAAGTACTAGTGTGGGAATAGACATAAACAAGAGACGCATTACTCCAAAATTTTCAGATAAGTCTACAGATAAATTCTTAGTATACGGTGCAGAAAAATTTAAAAGAGAAACGCTAAACGTTGCGTTGGATAAGCTGATTATGGATTTAAATAAAAGGAGCCAAGTCTATGAGATGTATAGCAAGAAATTCAAATTTTTAATGGATTTGCAAGACAATAATATGGAAAACTTAGATCTGGAAAGTATACGTAATATTGTTGATTATTATCCAGATGACGTAGACGAGCATTTAGTAAATCAGTTAAAATCTTATTTACTTCAGTCTACGACAGAGTCTTCCCCTCTTGCAGTGAAATTTTTATGCTAATTTATGAAAAGAAACTTGTTGATGTTTTCCCAAATTGCTATGCTATCTTAAAGATATTTTTAACTTTGCCAATCACTAGCTGTAAAGCGGAGGGCTCTTTCTCCAGGATGTCTTATATAGAAAACAAATATAGGACAACAATGTCGAACCATCGACTGAATCATTTATCAGTTCTTTCCATAAATTGTGATTTAGCGAAGGACTTACAATGTGATGAGCAAATAAAGGAATTTGCAGCACAAAAATGCAGAAAGGTTGCTTTATAATTTGTATAACATAACTACACATGACCTGTCAATTTCTTTTGCAACAATGTTGTACAGTTGCTGTTTGTATACACAAATAAAAATAAATAAATAAAATTATTTTTTTGTCCTATTTTTTTCTACACTGAAGAGCCAAAAAAACTGGTATACCTGCCTAATATCGTGTAGAGAAGCCCGTATGGAAAGCCCATATCGATGATGTTTCGTAGAATGGTTCGCACGCTGTCACTTGTTGATGGCCCAGTATTGAAATCTGCTGCAATTTGTGGAAGGGTTACACGCCTGTCACGTTTAATGATTCTCGTCAATCGTCGTTGATCTCTAAAATTCAAGCTTTTCCAGCTTGAATTTTAAATTAAGCTTCAAATCAAAAGATTCAGCAAATTAATCAAGCTTAATGAGAAATTAAATTCATCTTGATTCGAACAGAATCAAGCCTGATTTTGTTCGAAATTCAAGGCAGAAAATAGCAGGAAACTAGGCTAATTCAAGGCAGAAAATAGTTATCTCACTATGGCCATAGGTAGCAAAAGCATACTTAGCGCTATATGTAGCACATTTCGATCGACAATTGAAATTATTATTCATTCAAAATTTCTCAAATGTAGTTGTAGTTCATTTACGTCGCACTAGAGCTGCACAATGGGCTATTGGCGACGGTCTGGGAAACATCCTTGAAGATGATTCGAAGACATGCCATCACAATTTTGATCCTCTGCAGAGGGGATGGCACCCCCACTTCGGTAGCCCGACGACCTGCAAGCGAAGTCAAGCACTTTACGGTAGAACAGTAGTCCCGCAGTGGACTGATCGTTAAGACACGGTTCTCAGCAGATCACCGAAGTCAAGCATCACTGGCTACGGTCAGTGTGCGGGTGGGTGACCACTTGGATCAGTCTGCGTAGGGACCGAGGGTGTGCGGTATTGGT